AAAAAAAACTCAATGATATTCTGGTTCTAAATTTTTGCCGTCTATGATCATATTTCTCGCTCTTCTAATAATATTTTCAATTTTTTTATCAGACCAAAATGCACATGGATCTGAATTTGTTTGTGGATTTGGAAGTAATTTAATTGAACTAATTTTTAAATCGAGATTATGAAGAAAATATAATGTCTGTTGATAATGATTACATGTTCGATGATAAAGTGATTGTTCATCAATAGATTTATTGAATGAAGAAAGATGAAAAATAAAAGTATGATTTTGAAAAATATATTCATGTTTATCTTTTGAAATATTCAATGCTTCTCGTTCTTTTTCTTCCCAACCCCAACGAGATTTTTTCAATGAATACTTTTTCATACCTAAATATGAAAGTATTTCTTCATTTGAATCTTGTTCATCTGTTAATGTTTGTAAATATTCAATTTTGGAATTATATCGAAAGATAATTTGAGGTTCTCCATAGATTTGAAATTGATTTAAATAAAATACTTGACTATTATTTATAATTTTATGATTTGGTATAATTAGATATTCTATTGAAGAATTCTTCTTAATAATATGAAGAATTTTATTAAAATTTTCTTCTGATAAAAATGAATTTTTCTCAAATGGCATTAACCATTTAACATTCATTTCTTGTTTTCCATGTTTTAAAGCAAAATTTTTTGCTCCATTTCTATTAATTGCATATAAATTTTTATAATGATAAATAGTATAAACTAATTGAAGTTTTTCTAATGATGACATATTAGAAAAATTATTTGAATAAAAAAATTCTTGTGATGGATAATTCAATGGAATATAATATGGTATACGATAATATTCATCTGAATGAAAAGGTATTCGAATAAAGAAATAATTATATGAATTTAATATATTTATTAAGATTTCTTCAAATTCTTTATTAACAATTCGATTAAGTATCCAAATCTTTTTCACATTTTTAAATGAAAATTCATATTGAAGAATAAATTTTAAATTAATTAATGTTTCATTTGAACAATTATTTGAAACAAAATCATTTCCAATAATACGATAAAATATTATCCACGAATCATTTTTTATATTCACTTCTTCTTCTTCTTCTTTTGACGAATTTTCTTTTGAAATTATTAAAATAATTACAAGAAATAAAATTACAAATTTTATTCGTCGTTTTATTTGTTTAAGAACAAATAAAATTTGATTTCCTAAACAAAAAAAAGTTAAGTTTTTTTCTAAAAAGTAATTCAATCATGTCCTGTATCTTCAAATACTCTTTCAAACACATAAAATATTTAAATATACTAAACGAATCTCAATCGACAAATTTCCATTGTCAAATCAACTATTTTTTACTCTTATTCCAGCAATTCCTTCATAGTCTCTCTACTATAGTCAGAACATCTCAGGAAAACTTTAGTCAATTTGGATGTAACTAGATTGAGATTAGTTTTTAACGTTGGAAAAGGAAAAATAATAATTGTAAGAGAAACAAATCGAAAGAAAAAAACCTAGATGAAAATCATTTTAAATTCAATTAATTATTCTAGAAGAAAATGTTCTATTTTATAGATTTTCTATCTATTAGATTCTTATAAAACATATTTCTTGTGAAATAACTTACCCTTTATTTTCATATCAGTTTTCTTTCGATGTCAACAATATGCTTTCGTTATTTTACTTTCGTTATGCTTCAATGACAGAAATACTATACAAACATTAATTTGTCTTCTACTCCAGTGATAATAAACACGTGTTCCTTTACAAATTATTATTTATCGACATAAAATAGAAACATAACAAGATTTATCACATTTATTTTGTTCGATTACTTCTCTATTATTTCTTAATAGGAGTGAGACATTACTTTCACTTCGTAATTACTAATAAAGTAATAAGAATATCATAGATATGATATAACATTGACAAAATTTTAGTAGAATTATATGGAAATATAATATAATAATAACATCTGATAATCAAAGAATTGTTCAAGAATATAAACCATTTTTAATTGATTATGAAAATAAAATATTTCATGTTTTATTATAGGAGAATGTGCAAGTTAATATAAGAAGAATTAAAGAAAATATTTCTATGAAATTTTATTTCATACTAATCTATAATATCATTAAAAACAAAAATTAAATGTAAAGAAGAAGAATCAAGTTTATTTTTATATATTTTCTATCTTCGAATGAATGAAAAATAAAACGACTTTTGTGTTATATTCTTATTTTGATAATGTAGTAATTTATCATCGATTAGCGTTCACTAACTATAATTGGTTAAAAAAGAAGAATTCAATACATAGATAGACCTTTTTTTTTCCTACTAATTTATATAAATATTCTCTTTGATATTTTGTAAAAGTGAAATAAATTAATGTAAATGTTGAGAATTTTGTCTCAACATGAAAAACTAAATTAATTTTTCTTTTACATCATTAATTCGTTTTTGAAGAAGTATTGAAGAATTATTCGTTTATACTAATAATATAAGAATACATTCAATTTGATTTATTTTCAATTTAAATCACATATCATTCTATTATGATATAATATTATCCTTCAGAAATTTCATTTCTACGTTTTGTACATTGAATCATTTTCTTTCGTAACGATAATGTTTTATAATAAAAAGATGACTAACATATTTCATAATGATTCAATAAGTTCGTCTGTCGACGTTTTCTTTTCTTCTCGTCAAAATTTGTTTCTCTCTCTTTGTTCGACTATTGTATATATACAGTTGTGTATACGATAACGAAATATTCTCCAATTATTTCAATTGCAAACAAATATCTAGTTAGAAATTCTTTACCAATTTGGTAAGTGTTTTTAATCTTTTTTCTTCTATATACATTAACAATTAAAATAAATTAATCCCTCTCTTTTTTTTTATTTAAGTTCCACAATTTATCAATAATTCCTGTTTCTAAACATCTATGAAATCATCACAATTCTTCATCGTTTTATTCTTATTATTTGTTACAAATTCGGTAATATCAGAAAAACTCAAGGAAATATTTCTCAGTGAACCAGAATTATGTATGTATACTGAATGTCATGGTCAATCGGAAGGTGTCACACCATGTCAAAAAGGTTAAAATCTTTTGTTATTTTGTCAAATTGATTTTCTTTTTTATTTCTATATTTTAGGTTTTTCTAGTTGTGGAACATATGAATGTTTTATTACAGGATTAGATCCAGGAAGAAAAACGAAATGTTGTACAAAATCATGTTTAGAAATTTAATTAAATTCTATATTAGTATTGTATTAAACTTTATCTTACTATTTCATATACATTATCTCTTTCTTATAATAAAATTTCAAAATAATTTCTTTGTCTTTGATTGAAAATAACTTTTGATAAAAACAAGAAGATGAACTTCTTGTACCGCCATGAAAGCTAAAGTTTAATTCAATATCGATCGTTTTACTTACAAATATTATCTAGATTGTAACAAAATTTATTTTCTAAATTTCTATTTTGTGCTTTATTAAATAGTTGAATATAAGGAATTAAACTTTTCAAAAATTTAATATATATAAAGTGTAAACATCTTTTATTATTAGTGAAATGTTTTCGAAATCGAATTACTATTAAAAATTCATATATTCATTTATCATCTTATAAGATTAAAAAATATGCAATTGAATTTTCACCATGATTAAAAGATAAATTCATATGTGTTCCATAAATCAATGTCTTCTTATATAAATATAATTTCTTCGGTACATCTTTCAATTTCTTCGAACCCTATTCGAATATTTAATAAATTAAATCTAAAGAAAATCAAATATAATTAATTATTTTGTAGATATGAAAAAGAGGATTTGTTGGATAAAGATATTTTGTTACTACAGTTAATATTATCATAGAATATCTTCTAGATTTCAATCTATTATAAACTATTTCAACATAGATTAATGATCAAAATTGCACTTTTTCTCTTTTTGTTTCAATCAAATAATATTAACATTATTTTACCGATTTTTCTTATCTGTCCTATTTGGACTTGTAAGAGAATGATGTTACATATAGAAGTAACAAACAAAAGATAAAGTTAAATTTTTCTATGATAAACGAATTTTCTATTTCGAATTTTGTTAATATAATGCAAAATATGAATTAATTCAGCATAGATCTATAATCAAAACTGATAGAGAATTTCTCATCTGCCAATATAACAATTTTATTTGAAGTTTCTGTCATGTTCTTTCGAACAAATGTGTTTTCTTGCATATTAAAATCTTTTTTTTCTTGATATTAAACAATATTTAGTAAAAATTGTTAATAAGAATAGTTATGTATCGAACTCGAACAATTTAAGCATCGAAATGATTCTCCTGAGATGTGTGGAGATATATAAATAGAAATTATGAAATAGCAACCGAACCCAAACTCGAACTCGAATCATGCAGGTGCATGGCTAGATAAAAAAAAGTAGTTTATATTTAGATTTACGTCATTTCTTCTTTTTCATTTTTAAATTATTATCTTGTTTTGGTTCTTTAAAATGATAAGAGTATTTTTATTTATTTTTAAAATCCATGTTTTCTATATGTTAGCAAATTTACTTTATTTAATTCGATTCAATAAAATATAAGGAAATGAAATTGAAGAAAACAAAAGTCATATTGCTGTTATCTATTTGAATATTTGTAAAGGATACAATAGTTTTCTTGTATTTTATTAATTAAATTTATTTTAGTTAATAATTGGTAAGAATTGTCTTTAAACTTGTATTTATTTATGATTATTTATCTTTTATCATAGATTTTAGTTTCTACAGAATCTTTTTATGAAATAACATAGAGCATTTGAAATATCTGTTATCTTTCTTTAAGTTGAATTGTATAAATAAAATAAATAGGTATATTGATGACTAATATTCCTACTATAGATATTTCTCCGTTATTGTTTCAATCTGATGAACAATCAAAAATAGATATATCAAAATCAATTCGACATGCTTGTGAAACAGTTGGATTTTTTCAAATAATTGGTCATGGAATTGATAAAGATTTAATAGATAATATGGTTAACGAAGCTCAACGTTTCTTTCAACAATCATCAGAAGAAAAACAAGATTATGCTGTACATAAATGGAATCGATTAAATTCGAATACATATCGTGGTTATTTTCCATCATCAATAAATGGAAAAGAAGGATTAGATTTATGTTCACCATATATGAATTGTGAACATAAACTTGTTAAAAAAGGTGATCCATTACATGAATTAAATAAATGGAAAATAAATGAAATATTAATCAAATATTGGGATGAAATGTGTAAGTAACAAGTTTTTTTAAAAAACATTTATTTCTAATCAAAGATAAACAATTTAGAAGTTTGATAATTCTATAATTTATTTTGTAGGGCGTATTGGTATTGAATTATTACGTGCAATAGCTCGTGCATTCGATTTGGATGTTTTCTATTTTGATAAATTTCTCGATGATCGTTCAACGGGTGGTGCTGGAACAATTTCAACTTTTCGACTTAATTTTTATCCACAAATAGAAAATGCAACTCCTGTATCAATAGGTGTTGATGATGGTGAACCATTATCATGTGAAGAACATTGTGATGGATGTTTATTTACTATTCTTTATCAACATGAAATTGGTGGATTACAAATTGAAATAGAAAATGGTAAATGGATGGATGTACCAGTTATACCATATGCATTTGTTATTAATACTGGTAAATGTTTAGAAAGATGGACAAATGGATGTTTAAAAGCTGTCAAACATCGAGTTAAATTATTGAAACAAGAACGTCTTTCAATTCCATTCTTTTTAGAACCATCATATTCAACACCAATTATACCATTACCAACAATAAATTGTACGCACAAATATGATCCAATAACTTATGGACAATATATTACAGAGAGTAATAAAAAATTTAAAGAATATCAACGTGATGAAAATGATTCGTCTTAAACAATTTATTTACAAATGAAAGCAACATAAATTCAATAGTTTTCATTAGACTATTGATTGATTAAAATATTTTTTTTTCTTTTTTATTTGTAAATTTTTATTTAAATTTAACATACAAAATGAATAAAAGATTAAATTCTCTCTACTTTAACTTCAATATAATAGATTTTAATGGGACTCGAAAGACAAAAAAATCTAAGAGTGTGAAGTCAGAAGACCATAGTGTGCATGAGATGGAACTACCTCATGGAACTCATCGATCATCGAAGTTTTTGTTTAATAACGAACAGAACTGCATGCAAAAAACGAATTCGTCATTTGATGTGAAGCAGTTCACACAGTAGTAAATGTCTGTTAATTTACATTAAAGAATTAAGATAGTTGTTATCTTCGTCAATAATAAGAGGACATTTCCAACAAGAAAATGTACAAAATATCCCTACAGAGAAGATTATCAAAGCTATTGACGATAAATTTCTTGGAATCGGATCAGTAAATGGTTACGAGCGATCTATAAAAAAAACAATTATAGATTCGAACGATTTAAAGAACAAATTAACTCAAGAAATCAACCGAAAACGCTTTAAAAAATATTTTTCGTGAAAATAAAAAAAAATTATTTTGTTCGATTTCGATGAAAGATGATGTCTCTCAGCAATACTTTCGAAACTCATTCGGGGAAAAAATATTACGATGCTTTCCACCAATAATTTAAAACAAAAGCTAATAAAGATATTCAAAAAACCTTTTAGGAAAAAACTTTTCGGGCGCACTGTATATGTATTTTATGTATAGAACAAAGAAAATAATTATGAGAAAAAGAAGAAAAAACAAAAACATATAAAAAGAATTATTCATATTTGTACAATTCACTAGATTCACTTTATTCATTCAAAATGAAGAGACACTATCTGTGTTGCTGCACCACATGTCGCGCTATTGATACCACCCCAACTAGAACTACCAATGCATGGCCTTATCGTGTAGCCCGTTGGGCAAGAGCAAATAGTTCCCGTTGCACTTATTTCATAACTACCAGGACCACATGCACCAACCTTCCACGTAAGTCCATTATAAGTAGTACCATATGTAAAATTATAGCGTAAAGCTAGTGCCAGAGCCGTAGCAACAGATGAACTATCTACTGTTATACCTGTTGGGTCATTAGAACCATACATCCGCATCAGGGAATAACTTGAACAAGTCAAACTAGTTGCGAACGCTGACCATGCTGTGCATTGAGTTGTTGGAGCGACACCGTATGTTAAAGTTTGAGAATATGTTACTGAACATGCTACAATCAAAATGATAAAATACAAATAAATAGAATAAATGAAAATACGTACGTGAAGATCGAGTATCTAAAGAAAAAAATTTTTAATAATATTTTATAACTTTGGTTTTCTTGATTACATAGGAAAAGAATTTATTTTAAATCTTATATGAACTGTCATGTCAAAAAAAGGTTTGTACAGAGAATTTGCGACATGAACCATTCCATCTATACTATCTAATCTTACAGTTAGCATCTATATATTCTAATCCTAGACGAAGGGCTAGCAATGAAAGAAATTAATAATAGATTTTTATTTTTTCTAATCTTACCTAATACTACTACAACAATTGGGATGATGAGAGCTGCCAACACAAGAAGAAGTAATAAAATTAATAATTCGAGACCAATACATCGTGAAACAGAACATCTATAATCATTTGATAAATATCATTGAAAAGAATTCATTTAGATACTACTAACTTTGATTTTGTTGCTGATGAACCAGATGGAACATTTTTTATTTGATCTTGAGTTGTAGTTCTAGACTGTTGAGGAGGAGTATGGTAGGCACGTACGAAAGAAAATCGATCTAATTTTTCGCCAGAAATTTTAATAGGTGATTCAGGAGATTTACTCATATCAAATTAATTTGTTAAAAATGAATGATTTAATATAAATATCTAAATACTATCAATAAATAATTATTGTTGTAGAAAAATGTAATTGTATGATATTTGGCAAGGGGGAAAAAGCGGATCCTGGATCCCCGGATCCTCTGAATTTTTTGGATCCTAAGAGATCCTGGTGGATCCTGTGGATCCTGTGAATCCTAATGGATCCTGTGAATCCTAATGTATCCTGATAGATCCTTGTGGATCCTTGTAGATCCTGATGGATCCTGGTGGATCCTAGTGGATCCTGATGGATCCTGGTGGATCCTGGTGGATCCTAAAAGAGGCCTACAATTATTGCCAATATTGTTTTGCCTCTTTATTTCTCTTATTATTTTTCGACTGGTTTTATAACGATGCTAGTTGACATACGCTAAGGTTCATTTCATAGTTGTATCTAGTGTATAGGCCTTCATAAAAACAAGTTTCTACGTATTTGAATAGTCTGGAATTAATACAAACGCACTTGATATTATTAAATCGACAGCTACAATTTAGAGAAAATTCAAAGCTATGTAGTATATCTAATTCTGAGTTTTAACATTTGATTGGATTAATAGTATGAAAATACTCATATGGTATATGAATATATTACAGTCCATTTAAATATGGTTTTAAAGTTCAAACAAATTCTAATTTGAGTGTAAATTTTTGCCATAATAATAGGCACCAGATTCTTTATCCTTTTTGTCTTGCATTGAGAAGAAACAAACTTATGTATATAACGCAAACATTTGCTCAGTATCTTGTCTTCTGATTCCATGCATATTAATACTTCCATTCCTTTGTTGTCTGTATTCAGAATAGTCGTAAAGTCCTGCTTTAGTATTCAGATAAGATAATATATGTAAAATATAGACGAATTAACATTCTAATAGCCTTTTATTACATAGAAGAATAATCTATATAATGGATCCTTATGGATCCTGGTGGATCCTCATGGCTCCTGGTGGATCCTCATGGCTCCTGGTGGATCCTCATGGCTCCTCATGGATCCTATGGATCCTCATAGATCCTTATGGATCCTATGGATCCTAACATTTATGAGGAGCCATGAGGATCCACCAGGATCCGCTTTTTCCCCCTTGATATTTGGTATATAAATTATTATCGTTTATATGCTAAGAATAGTCTCATTTACAATCAGCAGTAAACAGTGCAAGTAAATTTGTCTGAATCTTCATACTTGTTATCATAATGACCTTTTCTCCATTCTGTGTACAATACAGAAGATTGTTTTCATTGTAAAAATAACTCTTCAAATCTTTATATCATCGATAGACTAGTCAATAATGATCTCCCATTATACTTATTCATATTAAACTACAAATAAATATTTTTTTCTTTCATTATGAATCTTTTTTGTAAGACAATGAATGTTAATTCTGTCATATGAATATCCTCTAACGAAAGATACCATCATGTTTCCATGCTTACCTTTAATTTTGTATAATATGTTAAAATGTATCCATACTAGTTAATGTACAAGGAATGTGAATAATAATTTGTCTTGTAAAGAAATGATTGAATATTTTTGTTTGATGTATTGTTATGATTAGAGATTGAATAAATGTTATTTAGTTCTTCAAAGTAAAAGAACAGTAATGCATTTCTTTGTTCGATCTCTGTTTTACTTAGACATGCTGACAGTTTTGTGCTTTTAGCAACATTTTCATGTTAGTGACATGATTGCATGAAATAATCATTCAAGCGCACTTTCATAGTTAAAGAAATATTTTGGGCGTAACAAAAATAACGAAATGATGTTTATGCATTCACTTTCACAAGCAAAAAAGCTTCTATATAAATTTTACTTTTTTTTTCTTCGCGTCATCAAGATTTTGTTTCTTCTATTAATGTGACTAAATTCTACACAGATTTCTTTTGTATTAATATAAATCAAAAAAATATGTTGGTGTACTTTATTGTACAAATAACTGTTGGCCTATATTTGGTATTTATGAAACTGATAATGTGAGAGTTAAATTTAAGTATCATTTCAAATATTTAAGTATGGCGCTAAAGTATTAAAATACTTTTAATCTGCATTTCGATGTCTCCCTCCTCCCACGTAGTGCCTCACTTACATTTCAGTGCTCTATTTCCTATAATAATGTATGTAAATACTTGATACTTTAACGATGCAATAATTTAATACTTCCCAAGTCAAATCTACCCCATCGCATCCGATGGGATTCTTCCGGAAAGAGCTGGATCCCTGGTACAGGAATCCAGTTGGAAGTTGCCGGATATCGGAAAGTGTCTCTTTTTCAGGGTTCCGACACGATCTTCAATGTGTCCGACACTTTCCGATATCCGGCAACTTCCGGCTGGATTCTGTACTAGACACTCCGACACTTTCCGACAAATTCCTATTGGATCCGGCAAAATCCGATATGTTCCCCTGTAGGGTCCAACTGTCGGATCGTTCGTTCTGGGTTGAATTCTCAAGTTTTTACACTGCATTCTACCGTTATATTTTGTTCTTTTCATAAAACATATCAGACGATGATGAAATGAATTTCAGAAAGATATTTTGCTCAACAGAAAATATTTCACGATCTTCTACAAATAGTACCAATTCAGTTTTAGTTTTGAGTTTGTATAGCCTGCAAAAGCCAAACGAAATTTAAAATCTTTGAGAAAAATACAGAAATATCGAAGATGAAACCTAATCCCCACCTCGCTACGACACTTTCAAAACCTTCCTTCGTCTCTCCTCACCCCGCCTCGAATCCCCGCTTCGTTTCGGTCTCTGATATGTGTGTGAAAAATGTCCTTCATTTATTAAATATTTCTTGAAAATATTATAATTATAACATTAAAAAATAGAATATCAATTTGTTTTTGGTGATTTGTATAAGAAAATAAGATAATTAAGATATTTATTTTAGATTACTTTAAGTAAATTAATATTAAATTCATACTTATCCGAAAAACTAATTATCAAAAAGAAAAATTTTGAATGATTATTTAATTATTTCATTTAATAAGAAGATTCTATAGCAGTTATTTTAATATAAACTTGTGTAGGAATTGCATCAGTTTCTTCAAATATTATTAATTCATTTTCTTTTCCATTATTATTCAATAAATGAGCAGAGAAATGATATAAAATTTGTGTTGGTTCACCCCAATCATAACGACATTTTGATGGATCATAAGAACCACGATAATCACAAAGAGGTATAGGATCTTTAGTAGGTGCTTTTATTGTTAAATAACGACCTAAACTATAACCATTTATATATAATAAACCTTTATACATTCCAGTCATATTAACTTGATACAAATTACTTGAATTATTTATTAAATTTGCAGGAGTTTGAAATGTTAAACGAAACCAATTAAAATTTGATAGTTTGTTAGGCGATTGGTTAGAAATTGGTTTCCATGGTAAATTTGTATTATTAATCGGATTAAAATATTCTTTATCTTCTCCTATTAAACCAATTTGATAATTCCATTTATTTGAAACAATATTTTTTCCATTAAATATAACAGTATCATTCAATTTAAATGCTAAACCACGTCCCATGTTTTCTAAATGAATTCCATAACTATCTAAGCCCATTGTAGCACCAACTAATTTTAATTCAACTATACTATATGGTTTTAATTTAAGATCTGTAATATTTAATATAGTAGTTACATTAAACTCGTTCGCTTGAGTAAATATACTAGTTTGCCATTTTCCATTTAAAAATATAAATAAACTTTCACAACGCATAGGTAAACGTAAAGTTAGATTTTCTCTATTGATATCAGATTCATTTAATTGAATGGAAGTTGTATAAGTTAAATAGTCAGATTTATCTAAAGTAGTAGAGTAATGTTCTTGCATAACACTAGTATTTGTAACTGGTAAAGTTACATGAAATGAAGATTTTTTTAATTTATATTTGTTATTATTTGTAAAAATAGATGAAATTAAAGAAGGTTCAGGTAGATATTGTATAGAAGAGAAATTTTTAAATTGAGCTGTAATTAATTTAAAAAGTGTATTATCAGATAAATTTGCTGAATTATATACAATAGCCTTACTATGACCATCGATAATAAGAGCACTCCAAGCAGATACTGTATAAGAAGAACCTGCTAATACAACTGTTTGATCTAATTTATCATTATTATTAATTAAAAATATTACCGATTGAGCTGATATATTAGTAGGAGAAGTATAATTAACACTAGCAACACCCTTTGTTGTTATATTAACAAGTGGAGGAGGATTATCTCCAACACTTAACAAAGCAGGTACATAATAATTAATTGTATTTAATAAATGTTTAAGATGATTAAAATGATTATTATTTGGTATTCCAATTTCTAAAATAGGTGGATCAAATGAATATGTGGTAGTATGAGTACGACCCACAACTCTACCATAATTAGTACCTCCATAGATCATATAAGTATTATGCATAGCTGCTCCATAAGCAATATATTGAGTAATAGAATAAGTAAAATCTTGAATTGGACGATGAGGTTTTGCTGATCCAAATTGAGTCCATCCCGGACTTCCAATCCAATTTTCAGTTGTTATACCAGGTTGAGTATAATTATGTTTAGGCCAATGTATATTTCTTAACCAATCTCCTGAATAATAATTATTATTTGCATTATTTGTTTTAATATCAACATTTTCATATTTACATGTTATCCAATAACATATTGAACAAATTGAGTGAGCCATATCTGAGGCCCATTGCATATAAGCAACAGCATCAGCAGGAGGAAATGCATGTGCTATATTATCATATTCATTTTCAATTTGTACCATAAATATTGGACCACCATTCGATGCAAACAAAGGATGTAAATATTTTATAACTGTTTCAGTGAAAGTTTGCATTTCCATTTGCCACAATTGATTAACAGTACGAATTTTAATATCTTTATATTTTTCAGTAAATGGTCTTAACCAAACAGGTAAACCACCATAACTCCATTCACCATCGACATAAGGTCCAATACGAAGTAATACTAGTAAACCTTCTGATTTGGCTAATTCAATAAATTGAAAAATATTACGACGTTCAGATGTCCAATCATAAACACCTGGTTCTACTTCATGATAAGACCAAAATACATATATACTAATACAATTAATTCCAGTTGATTTTACTAATTGAATCATTGAAAGCCAATCATCAGGATGAATTCTTGGATAATGCATAGAACCAGATTGAATTAATACAGGAACATCATTTAAATGAAGTGAACGCATACTACCACTAACATTATAAGGACGATCACGAAATTGTAAATAAGGTAAATATGAAGCTGAAACTTGTATAGAATCAGAACATTGTATAATATCAAAGAACATTACCATAGGCATCAATGAAATTAACATATAATATAAAGATTTCATAGTTGCAATTAAAATACTTTAGATAAATGAATATAACTATAGCAAAAGAAAAAGAAAAATAAGAAAATATGAATGAAATCAAAACTTAGCATTAATTTAAAACTAAACATGAGATTTCTAATGTACATTTTGATCAAAGAAAGTTCTACAAGTTATAGATAATGAAAATATATCTACAACAGATTTTTATCGTTTTCTAACAACGATAAAAACTTGTGTATTTGATTACTCAATCCATCTAATTTAACTCTACGAAATAACATATGTTTGTTCATTTATATTCACAGGTTTTAAACAATATAATTAGTTCTATATGAATTATTTTACAAAAATTAATAAATGCTAATATTTGGATTTTGGAAATTATATATATTCAAAGATATGAATTTTTCTGAAGGAACCTAATAGAACTTTTTTAAAAAAAATTCGATCTTTTACTTAAAAATTCCTTAGTCTAAATATTTGCATGTATAAATTTTTCCTAATATAATATATGCTGAACACATTCTTACAGTTCTTTTTTCATATTACTCTATCTTTATTAGTAAAATATTATAACTTATCTTTTATTCTAAGATCATTTGATATAATGAAAGAATTCTATTCTGTAAAAAAAAGAGTGAAAAGTAGTATCTTGTATTATATTCAACATCAACAGACACTTCTTATCATTTTCTTTTCGTATCTGAAGAAAAGAGAAAAGAAATGCATGAGCTCTACTTTATATGTCGCTAAAAATAACTCATATATACACATCCTTGTATTTAAAAATATCTATTAATATAAAAGTAAACATTAATAGTGTATTGTTTATGTCAAAAGATATTTATGCAAAAAAAAGCTTTCCATATATTAACTTCAAATGGATTAATATAGAATTAATACTACTAGTAGATTCATGCACATTAATTGTAATGTCAGTTTTTTAATTCATTTATTTGACGTTGTTTGATCTCTTTTTAATTTATATTAGATAAGTCTTTATTGTCTATGAAATATACTGTAGATTATATTTATGACAAGAGAAGACAAATTTTATTGATAACAGATTTCTTTTGTATATAAAATGTACTTTGCGGCTGTCATTATTGAATAGTTAGTTGTATTAAATATCCTATCGTACATTATTTTTAAGTATTTACAAGTCCAAATATATAGATTTGTTTTTGTCATAATTTTATTAATTGAGAGTGAATTCAAATGAATCAAATATTGAACTTAAAAATGTAAAATAAACTCAGTCAAACATTCGTTTTTTTTCTGAAGAAATATGACAAGGTTGCTGGGTACAATTTTCATTGTACTAATATTATTGTTGTTGGCTAGGTCATATGATCTTAAACAGACGAATAAAATAGCTGACCGTATGGTTGTGGTCGACTAAAATAAAATAAGAATGCATTCTGTACATGAAAACAATAGATAAACGTATCACGGTCGACTAGTAATGTGTCACAGTGTAATGTTTAGACGAAGAGAATAGATAAATATACGATAGCGAAAGAAAAAAAAATGTCATTATAGAGTCATCTATATATAGCAAAGGATCAATATAGAAAAAAAAATATCACTCATTTATTTAAATCAACATTCACGTTTTGTGTTGTACATATCTTATTTATTTATCGTCATTTTCAATAAATATGATTCATGAACTTGATATAAGTTATGTTGAACGTGATCTTAATGCTCTATTAAATCGTATTGGTCATCAACGTGCAAAAAATCCTGTTGATATAGCATCCATTGTTGTACCTTCTACTAAACTTACAAATGCAGCTAGCAAACATGCCAAAGATCTTCTAGATGATGCTATATTTAATCATTCAATTCGTATCTATTATATTAGTCAGATGTTACGCAAAGATCATTTTCAACGATGGAAGGTCAATGATGAAACATTGTACGTTGCTGCTTTAATGCATGATATTGCTTTGTCAGATTCAATACAATTAAATAGTCAAGTGTCATTCGAATTTCAAGGTGGACTTATTGGACATGATTTAGTACTTGCTAATGGTGGATCAGAGGTAGTAGCAAATCAAGTATTTGAAGCTATTTGTAAACATGAAGGTATGCCTCATAAAGGTCATCAATCAGTTCTCGACGCTTGCTTAGAATTCAGTACAACATTAGATGTACTTGGACAAGTTCCAGAGACTTTATGGGCACAGAAACAAATCGATGATTTGGCTGCTATGTTACCTCGACTTGGTTTTAGCAATCGATTTGCTGAATGTATGGAACGTGAAGTGAAGCTGAAGCCGACTTGTTTCGCTAGCACTTACATTACTCCAACTGTTCTTGGTTGGATTCGTAATAATAAAATCTATAGTAAACACGATTAATCACTTCATTTTTATATATTCTGTTATTAACGTAATATTTTTTTTGTTGATTGTCATTTATTAAACAAACGAAATAAAATTTATCTTCATTTTTACTCTCTCAAAATAGTTTTCTCTTTTATATTTATAGTTGTATTATCCTCGTGATTATTCTTAGAGAAAAAGTTTTTAGGGTGTAAGTATGATATGAGTATAATATTTCCCATCGTTTGAAATCTAAATAGATCTGTTTGAGATCTCTATAATCTAACATACTTGAGTCATTATACCACAGAAAGATAATTTATTTTTTCTAAAATATCGAAATCACATTTTTTTATCAAATCTATTATTTTAATTTACAATATTCCATGTAAAGAATGAGTATAATGATTGAAATATAGTTATTAGAGAAAGTATTTGCAGACTTGCTAACAATGTTGATTTATTTTTTGAGAAAATTTTAAAAATAAATTCATAAAGGAATAACTAAACATTATATCGTCAAAGTGATTCAATCATGTTTTATATGATTATCTTGTAAATAAATTTAAATCACACATGACTCGTTCTCGATATATAACTACATGAAATGATAAAATTTATTATTATAATTAATATAAACAAAAAACTGAATTTATGTCAACATTTCTTTATAGTATACAAACGTTTCACCTTTCTATTTAAAAATACTATTTATTATAAACAACTTTGCTGGTAGTATTTTCTAGTTAGTTCATAATAAATCTTTTTTATTCTTTACCAATTAAATTACTTATAAATGTCTTCTTAATAGTACTTCATCAAACAATACAATTAAGATCTGAATATATGACTAATGGTCATACATACAGTGCTACCACTATCGCTGCTCAACATCTTGACAATGACATTAATAATATTGTCTACGTCTCTGCTACTTGTCGTTCTTAAATTAATATTAATACGCAAATACTCGATACCGAATCTACTACTATTTTGAATTTGTACCATATTGATCATTGATTTTGTTAACTAATAGACCGATCTGTTGAATTAGAATATAACGTCTTCAATGTATCTCTGATCATGAACTTCTTTAACGAAACTATCAGATAGTTTAATTTCTATTCACGACAAGTCAATCAATATACTGAACAAAAAACAAAATCGATAAGATTCTATTATAACACTCTACTAAAACTATACGTCATAAATGTGACAACAATATGATAGTCATATAACTATATGTCTTTTCGTATTTCATATATGCAACAAAGAAAATAATTATCAGAAAGGAGAGGAAACAAAAACATATAAAAATAATTATTCTTATTTGTAAAATTAACACTATTTTCACTTTATTCATTCGAAATGAAGAGACATTGTTTGTGTTGCCGCACCACATGTCGCACTATTGATACCACCCCAATTAGGACTAGTATAACATGGTCTCATCGTGTAGCCGGATCCACAAGCACAAAGACTTCCTGTTGCACTTATTTCCCCACCATTACCACATGGACCAACCCTCCACGTAATTCCGTTATAACTAATACCAAATGTAAAATTATAGCGTAAAGATTGTGCGAAAGCCGTAACAACAGATGAACTATCTACTGTTATGCCTACCGGATCATTAGAACCATAAATACGCATCAGTGAATAACTTGAACAAGTCAAACTATTTGTGAACGCTACCCATGCTGTACATTGAGTTGTTGTAGTGACACCACTTGTAAAAGTTTGAGAATATGTTGTTGAACATGAAGATCGATTATCTAAATAAAAACATTTTAATAATATTTTATAACCTTCTTTTTCATAAATAAATGAGAAAAGAATCTAATCCTACAGTTAATATCTATACATTCTACTCATAGAAGAAGTGCATATGAAATAAATAATAAATTTCTATCGTTTTCTAAACTTACCTAATACTACTACAACAATTGGAATGATGAGAGCTGCCAACACAAGAAGAAGTAATAAAATTAATAATTCGAGACCAATACATCGTGAAGCAGAACATCTATAATCATTTGATAAATATCATTGAAAATAATTCATTTAGATACTACTAACTTTGATTTTGTTGCTGATGAACCAGATGGAACATTTTTTATTTGGTCTTGAGTTGTGGTTCTAGACTGTTGAGCAGAAGTTTGGTAGACAGGTGTGGATAAAGTTCGATCGAAGATGGGCTCAGAAAATTTAACGGGTGGTCGACGAGAGTTACTCATAACAAATTAATTTGTTAGAAATGAATGATCAAATATGAATATCTAAATAATATCAATAAATAATTATTGTTGTGCAAAAATGTAATTGTATAATGTTTGGTATATAAATGATTCTCTTTTATATGCTAAGAATAGTCTCATTTACAATTAGTAGTAAACAGTGCAAATGAATTTATCTGAATCTTTATAGTTGTTATCATTATGACCTTTTCACGGTTTTGTATACAATACAGAAGATTGTTTTCATTGTAAAAATAACTCTTCAAATCTTTGTATTAACGATAGACTAATCAATAATGATCTCTCACCATACTTATTCATATAAAACTACAAATAAATATTTTTTTTCTTTCACTGTGAATCTTTTTTGTAAGACAATGAATGTTAATTCTGTCATATGAATATCCTCTAGCGAAAGATGCCATCATGTTTCAATGCTTACCTTGAGTTTGTATATATGTTAAAATATATTCATACTATAGTTACTTTACAACGAATGTGAATAATGATTTGTCGTATAAAAGAAAGGGATGAATATTTTTGTTTGATGTATTGTTATGATTAGAGATTGAATAGATGCTATTCAGCCTTTGAAAGTAATAGAACAGTAACGAAAGTGGTAATGCATTCTTTTTTGTTCGATCTGTATAATAATACTTACACATGCTGACAGTGTTGCACTTTTAGCAACATTTTCATCCTAGTGACATGGTTGCATAGAATAATCATTCAGACACACTTTCATAGTTAAAGAAATTTTTCGGGTGTAGCAAACACAACAAAATGATGTTTGTGAATTCACTTTCCTAAGCAAAAAAGCTTCTGGACAAATTTTACCTTTTTTCTTTTTTTTTGCCGCTAAGATTTTGTTTCTTCTATTGATGTGAATAAATTCTACACACATTTTTTTTTGTGTTAATATAAATTGGAAAAATATCTTACTGTAGTTAGTTCTGGAATAACTGTGGCCATATATTTAGGATTTATGAAACTAATAATGTGAAAGTCGAACTTGACTATCATATCAAATATTTAAGTATTGTGATAAAGTATTAAAATACCTTTCACTCCCCATGTAAAAAAGTTGTGAAAATCATGATTTTTATGAGAAATCCGATGAAAAATCGATTTAAATGGCACGATTTTCATTGCTTGGTAATCGATTATTTACAACTTAATCCATTTTAATCGATTTTATACAACAATCTAATCGATTCTAACTGATTATTTGAACTTAACCGATTACCAAGCAATGAAAATCGTGCCATTTAAATCGATTTTTCATCGGATTTCTCATAAAAATCATGATTTTCACAACTTTTTTTACATGGGTCACATCTCGATGTCTCACTTCCCCCTACATGTATTCCGTGACTCATACTTAAGTGTTCCATCACAATGATTGTCCGTTTCTCAAATTCTATATACTTTGCTTTGATGTCGACATCAAAGGAAGGTGTGCGTGTGGACGTCAGTTTTATTTTTATTATTGCACTCACACCCACTCCCACACCCTTACCTATATATTTAATAATAAGCTCGTAAAAAATTATGCGGATCGACCGACCGGTGACAACTCTGTATGAAACGACAGTAGATTTCTTGTTGAGCGTTTTTCTTTACAGTTATTTTTTGATTTGTTTCTATTTTCAGCTATGATGCTATTCTACTCTGTGTTTCTGTTATTGATACTTCCTTCTGTGAACAGATGAAACTGTTCACTGATAAAGGATGGAGGTGTGAGTTAGTGACAGTATCTGTTCTATTACCTCCTTTTCTTAGCCTCTTCTTCCCATTAGTTACAATAACATCTATATATGTGTGAAGATTACTGTCACGCAGAGAGAAGATATAGAAATGAGATAAACAAGTAGTTAGTCAATACTGACTAGAAGTTTTCTTCTCCATAAAATGGTAAAAAATACTTTGAAACAAAATTGCAGCATGTTTAGTGGCGTATCCAAGGCCCAGCATGGCCTGGCACTGCCATACTAGCGAAAATTTTTGCGGTACCACCGAGGAAAATTTCTTGTTAAATATATTATTTTTTCATTCTCTTCGTACAATAATCAAGCAAAGAAGCGAAAATAACGTTTCAAAAATAGTGCTTACAAATCGAAATTCATAGTTTAAAGATGGATCAATCTTCAAAAGAATCAATAAGTGGTACAATTCGGTCGTTTTTAATTCATAGAATGTCAAGAATCGTGGGTTAATGTCTGCAATTTCATATAATTCAACAGATTCTCTTTCACATGAAACAGTGAATACAAGCTCAACCTTTGCTGATGATAGGAAAAATACAAAAAAAAACCTGAAAGACTAGCAACTGATTTTAAATCATCAGAAAATTATGAAGTGATATGGTTGGCTCAGGAGCTGCCAACTGAAGAAGGGAATGACACCCCTGCTTCGAAAATTTTTTGTTGCTTTTTTTTAAAAATGGAAAATTTGGATTTTAGGGCTAACAACTAATCAAATGAAGATATTATACTCCCTGCCGCCTCCGAAAGCTTTCTGTTTTTTTCCAGCTAACCAAACCGAAAAAATGGATTTTTAGTGTTTCATTTAGATGGAAAAATGCTGCGTTCCCCTAGGTTGTGTTTGAAATTTTTTTAAGATATTGCCATACCACCGCCCAAATCCTGGATACGACACTAAGCATGTTGTCGATAAACGATCTAAATTCTTCACCAATTATGCTGTGTTTATATAAAAAAAACTACGCCTGAAACGATTATTAAGTATCGAGAGCATTTCTCATAAACGTACGTTATACGTCAAGTAATATGAGTTTTATATATATCAATAGACAACACTTGCCGCCTTCTTCGAAGTTGTAATTGGTTAGTTAATATGAAATGGTCATATCGGTATGTAAAAAGCAAGATGCAAATTTGGAAAAGAGGAAAAGCTGAGGAATTTTATCGGATCATACTGAAGGGTATTTGTGTCAATATACTGGTTAATGGTTTAAGAGAAAAATGCCCATCATACCCACACCCACACCCTCAAATATGTCTTTCCGTATTTCATATATGCAACAAGGGAAATAATTATCAGAAAAGAGAGGAAACAAAAACATATAAAAATAATTATTCTTATTTGTACAATTAACACTATTTTTACTTTATTCATTCGAAATGAAGAGACATTGTTTGTGTTGCCGCACCACATGTCGCACTATTGATACCACCCCAACACGAACCACTACCATAGCATGGCCTCATCGTGTAGCCACTTGGATTAGAACAAAGAATTCCTGTTGCAGTTATCTCATAACTACTACCACCACAACAAGTACATGAACCAATCTTCCATGTAATTCCGTTATAACTAATACCAAACGTAGCATTATAGCGTAGAGCATACGCCAGAGCCGTAGCAACAGATGAACTATCTACTGTTATGCCTACCGGATCATTAGAACCATACATTTGCATTAGTGAATAACTTGAACAAGTCAAACCAGTTGTGAATACTTGCCAAGCTGTGCATTGAGTTGTTGCAGTGACACCACTTGTAAAAGTTTGAGAATATGTTGTTGAACATGCTACAATCAAACTCATAAAATACAAATAAATAGAATAAATAAAAATACGTACGTGAAGATCGAGTATCTAAAGAAAAAAAATTTTAATAATATTTTATAACTTTGTTTTTCTTGATTACATAGGAAAAGAATTTATTTTAAATCTTATATGAACTGTCATGTCAAAAAAGGTTTGTACAGAGAATTTCTAAATGAATCATTCCATCTATACTATCTAATCCTACAGTTAATATCTATACATTCTACTCATAGAAGAAGAGCTTATAATAAAATAAATAATAAATTTCAATCTTTTTCTAAACTTACCTAATATTATTACAACAATTGGAATGATGAGAGCTGCCAACACAAGAAGAAGTAATAAAATTAGCAATTCGAGACCAATACATCGTGAAACAGAACATCTATAATCACTTGATAAGTATCAACGAAAAGAATTCATTTAGATACTACTAACTTTGACTTTGTTGCTGATGAACCAGATGGAACATTTTTTATTTGATCTTGAGTTGTAGTTCTAGACTGTTGAGGAGGAGTGTGGTAGCCACGTACGAAAGAAAATCGACCTAATTTTTCGTCAGAAGTTTTAATAGGTGATCCAGGAGATTTACTCATATCAAATTAATTTGTTAAAAATGAATGATCAAATATGAATATCTGAATAATATCAATAAATAATTATTGTTGTAGAAAAATGTAATTGTATAATATTTGGTATATAAATGATTTTCTTTTCTATACTAACAATAGTCTCATTTACAATCAGCAGTAAACCGTGCAAGTAAATTTGTCTAAATCTTCATACTTGTTATCATTATGACCTTTTCTCTATTCTGTGTACAATACAGAAGATTGTTTTCATTGTAAAAATAACTCTTCAAATCTTTATATCATCGATAGACTAATCAATAATGATCTCTCATTATACTTATTCATATTAAACTACAAATAAAGATTTTTTTCTTCTATTATGAATCTTCTTTGTAAGACAATGAATGTTAATTCTGTCATATAGATATCCTCTAGCGAAAGACCATCATGTTTCAATGCTTACCTTGAGTTTTGTATAATATGTTAAAATGTATCCATACTAGTTAATGTATAAGGAATGTGAATATAATTTGTCTTGTAAAGAAATGATTGAATATTTTTGTTTGATGTATTGTTATGATTAGAGATTGAATAAATGTTATTTAGTTCTTCAAAGTAAAAGAACAGTAATGCATTTCTTTGTTCGATCTCTGTTTTACTTAGACATGCTGACAGTTGTATGCTTTTGACAACATTTTCATCCTAGTGACATGATTTCATGCAGTAATCATTCAAGAACACTTTCATAATTGAAGAAACATTTTGCAGGTAATAAACATAACGAAATGATGTTTTTGCATTCACTTTCGCAAACAGAAAGCTTCTGTACAAATTTTACTTTTTTTTTCTTCGTGTGATCAAGATTTTGTTTCTTCTATTGATGTGACTGAATTCTACATTATATTTTTGGTATTCATGAACCTAATGATGTGAAATATGAATTTAACTATCGTTTCAAATATTTAAGTATTACACTAAAGTTTTAAAATACGTTTTACCCACATTTCGATGTCTGGCTCCTCTTACTTGCATTCCATGAGTCATACTTAAGTATTCCTCTCCTTCTGCGCACTGTCTAACTTACATTTCAGTGCTCTATTCGTTATTGTATATCTGAATACTTGAATTCGCAAGCTTCCACGCTATATTTTTTGGTATATTTTGTTTGTTTTTGCAAAGCGTATGAAACGATGAAAAAATGAATTCAAGAAAGGTGATTTTTTGTTCGAATGAAAATGTAATTAATTTATGTCCACATTTAACAATTCAACTGTAAGATCTTGTAGAATTTCTACAAAATCAAAGAAGAATTTACTATATGACCTCTCATGATCGTACAAGATCGTACAAAAATCGTTGATTATCTTGTATGACTTCATACGTCAATCTTAAAGTCACCATTTCTGATAAAATCATATCATACAATTTTTTTTGTGGTCCTGATGTAAGATCCTATGCAATCGGTGTATGTGATTATTTTTAGTTACTTTTAACTTTCTAAATCTGGCTTTTTTATTATAACGTTGACTATTTTGTTTTCTTAAAATACTTTTTTTATTTTTAATCATACATATATATGTATTTGTAATAAGAGCTACGAAAACCAAATAAAAATGGATAAAATACATATTTAAGAATCCAAAAACAATTATTTCAATCGTACTTGATGGTTAATTATCTAAAATAAAAAAAAAAGATTTTTATATTAAATAAGCATTTACTTCAATATTGGATTAATTGTTTATACCATCTGTAATAAACAGTGATGGATAGTTCAAAATTAAATAAATACTTGTATAATTTGGATTAATTGTTTATACTACCTAAAATAAATATTTACTTAATTCATATTCATTACTTATATTATCGAGAAAAATGAATAGATCGTATGAATTCAATAAATAGGGTTGGGAAAATAGCAGTTCAAACGAGGCACTATTGTCATCTAGTTAGGGTGTGGGATGTAGTAGAGAGAATATCTACAATAGATTACACCCACACCTACACCCTCAAAAATTACAAGAGCGAAAATCTACTTTTATTTTACCAAATTGATTCAATTACGTGTGCAGCGATTTTTTCAACAGATCAATAGCATTATATAGAAGGTGCGTTTTGAATTTTAAAAAGCTAACGGCTAAATTAAAACATATTTAATCATCCAAATATTTGCTTAAATACACAAAATTATGGTTATAAAAATTATTTGTATGATCAAGATCAAGAGTAGATGATCACTATTTTACAAGTTTTCTATTAGTCTAATAGTTGATATATTTTTTGTTATATTTTTTTTAGTTAATTACAAGTAACGCTCGTCTGCAGGCTCGCTTAGCTCTTTCTCGTAGAAATCGTATTCTACAATACTAAACTTTTTGCTTATACAGTTTGGAAAAATTAACACCAGATTTGTGTTCTTCCACCCCACTTATCCTTCGGTCACCCCTTATCAAATTTTTTTTTTATAAAAATTGGTTCTGTCCCTAAAAAAGTGATCTATACAATTATTTTATAAAACTCACATCAGATTCGAAGTCTCCACATCGAAATGCCCAAAAAATGTCTTTTCTAAAAAATCGATTCTCGAATTACCCTCTGGTAAAACTTTCTTGGAACTATCTATAAGATTAATAATATTAATTAATTATTAATTGATTTTTAACTAAAACTAACCTCACATTCGAATTCTTGGCACTCGATTGCCCTTCGGTCAAACTTTTTTTAAAAATTAATAATATCAATTAAATTAATGATATCAATTATTAACTGATTATTAACTAATTAGTTTTAATAAATCAATCTCAGATTCGAGTTCTCCATACTCAATTACCCTTTGGTCCAACTTTTCCGAAAATATTTCAAAAATTAATAATATTAATTATTAACTGATTATTAACTAGTTAATTTTGATAAACTAACCTAGATTCAAGTTCCCCGCTCTCGATTACCCTCCAGTCAAAGTTTTCCGGAAGTATCTGAAAAATTAAATTTGAATGTTTTTTTGACCCTGCGGACACACAAGCAATCAATCAAGCAAGCAGACAATTTATGACTACTGGACTCTTCTCTACGAGAAAGAGAACTAGATTTAATATTCATATATTGATAGAATTATCTTATCTTGACGATCTAACAAGTTTGATGATACTACTAAACACTAACTGCGCTTTTAATACATCGAGCTATTCTATCCTTTTATATGCTTCACACTCATTTTATCAAAAATTAAAGAAAATATAGTCGATCTTTGATAAAAGTGAATTATACTATCACTATTTGACTATACTCTATGCTATTTATGCCGATCTATCTGATAAAAATTTTCTTAATCCTGATGTCAATCATCAACTCGTTCGCATGTTCAATAAGGAAATTGTCCCATTTGCTATTTCTTCCCTTCCTTCACTTTCGTTTTATTTTGACACTTAATTGTTGCAATGTTTCTTCGCCATTTTGATTTATCTTAATAGTTAACCTTAATATATAAAGAGCTTTATAGGAACATGGACGAAAGAAAAATAAGCAAAGGTGCACACAAGGTAACTACTTACTTTTCAAAGAAATCAGTCGATCCAAACTGGGACACAAAAACGTTGGCTGACTTTTCTAACCAATTAGCAAAGTACAATGTATCGCTTATGGCCTATAAAGATTGGTTTCCTCAAGAAGCAACTAATAATACGCTTGAAGAAAGCGATCTGGATCAAGAGAATAGTGTAATGGATTACAGCTGCTCAAATATATCTGAACTAGTGCCATCACCACCAGACATTCCACCACGTATTGCGATTCCATCGACAACAACTAATAATTCGCGTTTTCTCACGCCACAATTACCTAGGCCCACTAAAAGTTTCCATCGACAAAATCCAGCAGTTTCGCAATCTCTTCGAAAAAATCGAAACAAAGCCAATAATTACACCAACATCTCTGTTTAAATCTCTACTCAAATCAAAAAATACAGATTTATTATCATCACAAGAATATCCATATCAAAATTGCTAAACAACTCTCGACTATACTACTTCTAGCTCTCATAACACGTCACTAAACGCACTAAGACTAGAATAAAATTAAACTATCGCTAACTTACTTTAGACTGTATGACATACACATGTCGTAAAGTAATATTTATAAAAAAACATACAAAAATAATTAGATAATTGAATCTTTCTATTTTGATTGTTTTAGTAATTGACTATTCAATAATTGCAAGTTTCAAAACTTCAAAAAGCTGAAATAACATGAATATCGTGAGTTGAATGTAGTTGTGGAGTTTCATTGTTTTTCTAAACATAAATGGATATTTAAAAATTCATTTCTGATCAGATATGTATATAGTTTTGGATGATTCTTTCGACTATTTTCAATCAAACGATATGATCGGTATACGTGTACATAAAGGTCATTCCTCTGTTGCAACAAAAAAAGAGAAAAGCAATAACGTTCATGAATATATGTAATTGAAACAGAAATATCGTTCGCGTGTCAAAATAATATATGATCTAAGTAACCCTTTTGAAATTGATGATATGACTCTTTAAGGTTGATGCTAACCTAATGGTAAATCTTCATGAAAAGATCGAGCTGTGTAGCCTTCCGATTTTGAATAATCGAAACTAAATAGTTAAATACTTTAATGAATAGTTGAATTCAAGTTTCAAGTTATACATGTATGATCGGTATGTAAAAAGCAAGATGCAAATTTGGAAAAGAGGAAAAGCTAAGAAATTTTATCGGATCTTAGTGAACGGTATCTGTGTCAATATACTGGTTAATGGTTTGAGACAAAAATACCCATCATACCCACACCCACACAAAAAAACATATAAAAATAATTATTCTTATTTGTACAATTAACACTATTTTCACTTTATTCATTCAAAATGAAGAGACATTGTTTGTGTTGCTGCATTACATGTCGCACCAGCGATACCACCCCAACAAGAACTACCATAGCATGGTCTCATCGTGTAGCCAGTTGGACTAGTACAAAGACTTCCTGTTGCAGTTATTTCCCAACCACTACTACCACAACAACTACATGAACCAATCTTCCATGTAACTCCATTATAACTAATACCAAATGTAGCATTATAGCGTAGAGCATATGCCAGAGCCGTAGCAACAGATGAACTATCTACTGTTATACCTACTGGATCATTAGAACCATACATATGCATCAGTGAATAACTTGAACATGTCAAGCCAGTTGTGAACACTCTCCATGCTGTGCACTGAGTTGTTGGGGTAGCACCGCCTGTAAAAGTTTGAGAATATGTTGTTGAACATGAAGATCGAGTATCTAAACAAAAAAAAATTTAATAATATTTTATAACTTTCTTTTTCGTGAATCAATGAGAAAAGAATCTAATCCTACAGTTAATATCTATACATTCTACTCAAAGAAGAAGTGCATATGAAATAAATAATAAATTTCTATCTTTTTCTAAACTTACCTAATACTATTACAACAATTGGAATGATGAGAGCTGCCAACACAAGAAGAAGTAATAAAATTAGCAATTCGAGACCAATACATCGTGAAACAGAACATCTACAATCATTTGACAAACATCTACGAAAACAATTCATTTAGATAATACTAACTTTGATTTTGTTGCTGATGAACCAGATGGAACATTTTTTATTTGGTCTGGAGTTGTGGTTCTAGACTGTTGAGTAGAAGTTTGGTAGACAGGTGGGGATAAAGTTCGATCGAATTTGCTCTCAGAAAATTTAATAGGTGGTCGACGAGAGTTACTCATAACAAATTAATTTGTTAAAAATGAATAATCAAATATAAATATCTAAATAATATCAATAAATAATTGTTGTTGTAGAAAAATGTAATTATATAATAATAATAGTCTCATTGACAATCAGCAATATATAGTAGAAATCAATTTGTCTGAATCTTTACACTTGTTATCATTGTTACCTTTTCTCGATTCTGTTTACAGTAAAAGATTGTTTTCACTATAAATATAATTCTTCAAATCTTTACATCATCGATAGACTAATCAATAATGATCTTTCACTATACTTATTCATATTAAACTACGAATAAATATTTTTTCTTTCATTATGAATCTTGTTTGTAAGACAATGAATGTTAATTCTGTCATATGAATATCCTCTAACGAAAGATGCCATCATGTTTCAATGCTTACCTTGAGTTTTGTATATATGTTAAAATGTATCCATACTAGTTAATGTACAAGGAATGTGAGTAATGATTGAATATTTTTGTTTGATGTATTGTTATGATTAGAGATTGAATAAATGTTATTCAGTCTTTGAAAGTAAAAGAACAGCAATGCATTTCTTTGTTCGATCAGTGTTTTACTTAGACATGCTGGCAGTTATGTGCTTTTAGCAAAAATCTCATCCTAGTGGCACGATTTCATGTAGTAATGATTCAAACACACTTTCATAATCAAAGAAATATTTTGGGCGTAACAAACATAACGAAATGATGTTTATGCATTCACTTTCTCAAACAGAAAGCTTCTATATAAATTTTACTTTTTTTTCTTCGTGTCGTCAAGATTTTATTTCTTCTATTAATGTGACTAAATTCTACACAGATTTCTTTTGTGTTTATATCGATTGAAAAATATCTTAGTGTACTTTATTGCGTAATAATTGTTAGTATATGTTTGATATCCATGAAACTAATAAAGTCAAAGTTGAATTTAACTATCATTTCAAATATTAAAGTATTAAAATACTTTTCATTCATATTTCGATGTTTCTCTCAATCTTTTATAATAATATATTGATTTATATCTTTAAAAAGTATATGACATTTACTGAATCTATTGATTGATTAGTGATTATGTAAAATGTACTAAAGGATTAGATGTCCATGATATTTACTAAGGATAATATATATATAAATACAATAACATTTCACTAATTATTATAAATTGACCTAGTAAAATAATGGCCGTCGCTTTGAGTACAGTTCTAACTGTACTTGTCGTTATTGCACATCCTGATGATGAAATACTTTTTGGCGGTTTTATTCACTCTCTGACACATCAACTCAATGCTTCAGTTGATCTTATATGTGTAACAAATGGTGAAGGTGGTTTTGCAAATGCAGGATTAGCTGAATCGTTCTATGATAATATAAAATTAAGAGAAGAGACAATTGGAAGAATACATTTACCACGTATACGTCAACAGGAATTGATGGGAAGTGGACGAATATTGGGTATTAGAAAATTCTTTTTCTATGATCAATTAGATTTAGAATATAGTCGAGATACAAATTCAGTTTTATCTAACCAATGGAACAAAGAATGGGTAATTGATCGTTTTCATCACACAATAAAACATGGAAATGGTATTCGTGGTTATGATTTGATGATTGTTATGCTTCCAAATGTTAATTCACATGGTCATCATACAGTATCAGGTTTACTTGCACTAGAAACTATTAGCCGTTTACAACAGATGAAATCTGCTGATATATTTATACCAACAATAATTGGAGGATCAGAGTTTGCTCTAGATCATCCGCCTATCTATCCTGAAAATCAACTTGCTAAAGTTCTTACAAATTCAACAGTTAATGAATTTCGTTTTAATCTACGATGGAAATTAATCAATGTACCAATTGCTGACTATCAAACAATTCTTTATTGGATGGCTGCTGAACATAAATCTCAAGGTGGTCTTATTGCTGAAGTGTTTACAGAATTCAAACGAGTTCATGAACAATATTTTTATTTTACCATTAACGAAAGAGATAATCTTAGTTCACGTCTTTTGATGATACAAAATCTATTTACTCAACTTGCTAATATTCATGAACATTAATTTATTTAATTTCTATCAATTAAAATCTAACAATAAAGGATGTCTTTTTAGATAGATGCGGAAGGATTTCTAAAGAAAAATTGTTGGAGAAGTAATAAAATGATTTCAAATTGAATATTATTTGATTTTATTGATTTTTTAATTTCTAATTATATTATTGAAAAGTGCTTGATTAATAAAATTGAAATGAAAACAAAGTAAAATGTTTTATTTACAAATAAATATAAATTTGTTGTTTTTAATTAGAAATAAGTAACTGTTTGATCTGTTTCAGAATTTAATTTATCCATTTGATTCGATTTGTGAGTTAAAGAATTTTTAAAAATTCCCAATTGTATCGTATAATTTCTTGTAATATCTCTTTGTCTATATAAAACATTATGTATTCTATTATATTGACTAGATGAAAGAAGATCTTGTATTTCAGTAATCCAATTATCAAATTGTTCATTTGTAATTGATGCAAAACGATTTAATGTTTTTTTAATTAAATTTTTATCAATTGTTGTAAGTTTATTAAGATATTGTTGAAATTTTTTTGCTTGTTCTGTTGGATGAAATTTGACAACAGATAAATGATTACTATGAAATTTACAAGCAACAACACTAAGACCATTAAGTTTACCCATTCCAAAACAAGATGAATGATCAATTAAATGTATTTTAAATTTTTTTAAATCATCACTAATTTCATCTGTTTTTGGTAATGTTATTAAAATATTTCTTTGATTTCTATCAACATTTTGTATAATATGATCAAATAAATCCATACATTCTAATCGTGAATCAGATAATAATAATTTTCGAATATCTTTAGGTAAATCCATATATGTAAGAGTTTTTTCATTTTCTAATGCCACATCTTTATGTACACTAACTAATTCATTTTTATAAATTCCAATTTGAACTTGATTAACAGGTAAATTAAGTAAATCTCCTAAAACATAAGCAATCCATTCATTTGCAGCACATAATGGATGTTCTTGAATTTTTATTAAAACTCTTTCACCCAAAGGATTTTTCATCCATATTGATGGACTAGTAAAACCTCGATCAGTATTTTCACCTTCATAGATCCAATCAGAATTAATATCAACATAAGTTCTATTATTATTATTTGATTGTTTTTCTAAACCTCGTTTAACAGCTTTTAAAACATTCTCACTAATATGTGTACCTTGTGCACATACATCAACTGCATGCATTGTACCATTAACTACTAATTTAAATGGACCACGTAACCAACGAACAATATTATTTGAAAGACGAATTTTTGAATTAGCTACTGGTGATTTAATAGAATCACTACTTTTTTTAATTCCATCATCATCATCATCATCTTCGTCTTCTTCTTCTTCTACCGAATAAAATTCATTATCAGAATCATCTGAAAAATGTTGATCTTTATTTGAATCTACTGGAGGTGAACTGATTTGTTTTTGAAGTTCATTCGATGATGATTGTGAATGATTTAATGAATTTTTAACAAGATATTGTAAATGACTTGTTTGTTTTTGAGATAAATTTTGATTATCTGTTTGTTTTTCTAATAAATCTTTGGAATTGAAAGCACTAATTTGTTGAAATTTTGTAAAAATAATTTGTAGATCTTTTTTAATCGCTTGAATAAAATCTTCAATATTATAAAAATTCTCATTTTCAATTTGATTATTTTCATGATTTGATTTCTTCTCATTAAAAATCGTTTCATATTGATTTTTAATTGATAAAATTTGTTTTTCAATAAAATCTGATTTAATTTTAAATTGATAAATATATTTAATTAAATTTAAAATATCATTTGCTGATAATTTTGATAAAAATAATTTTAATTGTTCATTAAAAATATTTTGTTTTGAAATTAAATATTCAATATCTTCTGCAATTTTATTTTCATGTTTTGAATAATGATCTTCACAAAACATTTCTTCACATCCTTCACATTTAATTATCGCATTTTTATCACATTCAATATCATATTTACAGGATTTGCTTGAAATTTTATCATTTTGTTTTGAACATGTCATTTTGAAATTTATTTTAATAAGAAATTCTAAAATAAAAATTATTTTATTAACAAATTGATTTATTCAAAAAACGATTTTTTTGTTAATGAACATATCGAATGTATTTCGGTTTATATCTGGTAGTAATAGATGATTTTATGACCACTTATTCTGTTGCATTCAAATAGTCAAATATATCATAAAATGCACGATGAAAATGTCTACAAGTCATGTATTACTGTCGTTCTTTTTTCTTTTCAATTCTTTTTTTTTTCATCTTGTTTTTTTTTGTAACTCTTTCTCTCTTTCTTCGTCGTATTTTTCTTTTATTATTTTTTCTACTCTTAGAATCTACAAGGATCTCAGTTTAAAAATAAAAAAAATCCTATCTCTAGATCTTATAAAGAATGATTTATTTTCAAAATGAACAAAACTCTATGACTAAATTTTGTCTATTAAAAATAGTAACATATTTTGTGTTGACAGATCAAAAATTCGTCCTTGTTAAACTTACCTTTTTTATTATTCGATATATTTGTTGTTAAAACTAAAATACACTATACAATATTATATGAAAAGTTTTACAAAGAACAATTATGAATATATAAGATAAGAAAAAAAACAAATTTATTTTCTATCAACATAAAACATCTCATTCACTAATGACCACTTATTCGTTCATTATTCATTTAAAAATCTATCTCACTATTTTCAATAAGAAGTAGATTAACAAATTTCAAAATAAAACTAAGATTATAGAATTAAATTGAAGATTCATAGATTATATTAACTATGAATGAAAAAAATGTTTTATCTGAATATGAATAAACTAAATATAGAAATCAGTCATAATATAAAGAGAAAAACAATTTAATATATTATCGTGAAAAATATTTTTGTTGTGTAGATATGCATATTAATAATTTAACCGTATCCAATAGATCTACACATATACTTATAGAACGAATAGTCTAAAGAAATATACGCGTAGATGAACGAAATTAACTCATCCGTAGAAATGCGCACATTAATTATATAATCATATTTATATAATATACTATACAACCTTAACAATACAAATATCGATCATCTATACATTCAATGTTTTTTTCATCTGACATTAATCAATAAAAACTTATTCATTTTAATATCTTACAAAAAAATCAATATTTACATAATCGTTGAGGTTATCGCGTTCAAAATTCTACAAGGTTATTTACTTTATTTAATAAAATTTAATAGAATATTTATCTTCTTCATTTCGTCTCATTAGAATTAATAATCAACATTATCGTTGAGAATAACAATTATATTTGAGAAACGTACCTTTTTCTTTCAAAAAAAAAGTCAAATTCTCAACGACACAATTTTTACTCTTACAAAAATTGATCGAGACAAAGAGAGAGAGAGAGAGAGAAAGAGAAGTTTGATTATTTTAGAAATAAAAAATGTACACTTGAAAATTTGCGTTGTTCGTTCAGACTCTATAGCTTTTTGTGCTGCATCTTGTGACACATTTTAGCTTTCTTTTTATAAAAAGAAATATTCAATAATAAAAAGATAAACAAAAGTCATATAGTAAAAATATATTTTGTGTCGTAGTTTTTAAATGTTTTTACGTTGATATATTTTGTTTTCTTTCTTTCTATCATCCATAGTTAAATGTATTTTATTTTTTAAAATGAAAAGATTTCTTTTGCTTGAATAAAAATATAAACAGCATGAATAAATCAATTAATATATATATAAAAAAAAATTAGAGTTCCAATGCATTCATTGTCTCAACCATTTTATCGACAATATACTAAAAGATAAAAAGAAAAAGAAAAATACAGAACGAAAATAAAATAAATGATATAACATACTCGTGCTTCTCCAATATTTTCATATGGAACAATTTTCGCATGTACTAAATCTTTTATTGTCATTCCAATTGCATTTGTTTCCTTTAAAGAAAGAAAGAAAGAAATATTTTCAAATAAAATTCCAAGAAATCTTTGTTACTTTTAATACAAATTCAATATAATTTGGTTCAAATTTAACAGTAGGTGTTCCTTTAATATTTTTATAATGAAGTGTCCATTCAACTTTATAAACTCCAGATGAAGATGCATCTTCAATTAAATAAACAGCTTGTCTAAATATAAATAAAACAATTTTTTGTTAAAGAAAAGAATTGTTGTGAATATTAACTTGGTTGTAGCAAATAATAATGATGATGGATCTGATGAAGAATTAATATGAGCTATATAACCTTCATTATGTCCATGAAGTGATTCATCAAAATTCTAAATAAATAAATAAAACAAAATAATAGATTTTAGAAATAAATAAATAAGAATTCAGACATCAAATATAAAATGTCCTAAAGTTTCATGAGCAATTGATGGTCGAACAATTCCATCCCTTCCAACATGACGTGGTGTTCGAATACGATGAATAACATCTTCATGTATTGCAACTCTTTAATACAAAATATTTTTTTTGTTAATCAAAAGAAAAGAAAAGAGAAGAAATTTACTTTCGAATTAATTTAAATGAAGTACTAGTTAAATCAGCAACACCACTTGCTGGTCTACCAGCAAGACCAAGAAAACCTTTACCTAAACCTTTAAAAAATCCTTGTGCTCCCTTTTTTTTTTGCACCTTTTATTGGTTTTTTAACAACACCTTTAACACCTTGTAGAATATCCTAAGAAAAAATATTTTATAGGAAAAAAAATTTGAAATAAAATAAAAACTTTAAGAGCATTTTTTCCACTTGAAACAATTTCTGGTGTTGTTTCAGCTTGAATTTCTTTTCGTTGTATTCGAGCATTTTGATAATCTTTATCTAATGTTAATGTTGCTAAACCTTTACTTGTTGCTTGTGTGACTTTAGAAAGTGCACCAGCAGCTCCTCCAACAACTGAACCAACAAAATATTTTGTACCTGTTGCAATTCCTTCTAAAAATTCAATTGGTCCTTCCATTGCACCCTATTTTTATAGAGAGATAGAAATTAGAATAAAATCAATTTGTCTAACTTTATATGGTTCATAGAAAAATGATTCAACACCTTCTGCAACACCTCGAATAACACCAAAAGGATTTCCAAGTACATCAAGACCAAGAACAACAACATGAAGTTGTTTTAAAAATTGATTTGTATAATGATCACTGATTTCTTTTGTTAATTTTGTTATTGAATATCGATCATTTTTTCTTTCATAATAATTTAATCTAAAGATTCAATAGATTTTAATTCTCTGAATCATTTAACAAATAAAGAAAATAATACTTTAAAATAACATCTTGAACTTCTGCTAAACTTAACATTTGTAAAAGAAAATCAGCTAATGGATATTCAGCTAATAATTGTTCACTTGGTTTTGAACCATGCATTGAAAAACTAACATGAATCTAAATATATACAGTGATTTAAATAAATAGAACTAAATAGAAATAAACTCACTTTAAGTGGTGATAAATGAAGATTATCAAAATAAATTTTTGTTTCTGAAGATGTATTATCTGTTCCTTCATTAACTATTGTTTCTAATGGATTTGATAGACGTTTAAAATCACTTTCCATATTAACTGTTGGTGCTGCTGGATTCTATTTTAAATAAATATAGATTTTAGTTAAACAAAAACAATTATTTCAAATAACAAACTTTATCTTGTTTAATAAATGCAAATAAAGCTAAGATTAAACCTTGATCAGCACAAAAAGCAAATTCTTGAATTAATAATTTTAAATATCTTTTTAGAAAATAAAGAAATTATTTAAATTAAAAATCTTTTTTGTTCATACTTAATAAATATTGTATTTGATCTTGTTGATGAACTTTTAAAAAGACTTAATTCAATAAATGGTTTTCCAGCTAAAAGAAATAAAGAAATAAAATAAAATAAATAATTATGCAAATAAATATTTGTTACGTGAATCAGTTCCTGCTGATTTGGAAACAATTGGATAAAGAATTGTTGGAAACATTGTTATTTGAAGTTGATTATCAATTTGTATATGATTTATTCGACAATGAATAGCCATATTTTTCGTTGACCATGTATATCCAATCCATAAACCATCGAGTGGTTGACGTTTAACATGTACAATATGACCTTCATTATCACTTATTTCAGCAATATCATCATTAAATGAAACATACTACAACATTTATTTTATTAAAAGAAAAGAAGAAGAGAAGAAAAAAAAGGTTCTTACGCGATTTTGATCAATTTCAAATTTATTTTCTTGTTTATGTTTTAAAAATGTTTTATAATGTTGTTCTAAATCTTGATTAATTTTTGATGAAAGTGGTTGAATATTAAATTTTCTTTTTTCTGTCCAAATTTCATTTGATTGATTAATTGTTATATAAAATAAATCTTCTCGATTTATATCATCAACTATTGATATACCAACTGAACGAATTCCAATTTGAATATATTCTTTCATTGATTCAGTTAATGATGGCATCTAAAATTTTATCTTTCTTTTTCTAATAAAACAAAACAAAAGAAGAAGAAGAAAATCTTACATCAGATACAGATTCAATTATTGATTGATCAGAAGAAAAGAATAAAACTGTTTGAGGACCATCATGAAATATTGCATAATATACACAGTCTTCACTATCTTTATCAATAACACCACAAACAGGCTATTTATTAAATAGTTTAAAGAAATTTTTAAATGTAAAAATTGAAACTTACATTAAGTTGTATCGATGTTGATTGTTGATTTGATAAAATAATTAATTCTCTTGGTTTCAATGGATCATCCCATGTATAATAAAGATAATATTGAGATGGTAACATTTGTGTTTGTCTATTTTAAAAGAAAGAAACTCAAGTAAAGAAAAGAAAAGAAAAGAAAAAAGAGAGAAGAGAAACAAACAAATGATCTTTTTGTGCAAAAGTAATTGATTGATTAATTAATGAATTAACAATTAAAATCGGAGCATCACCAGTTTTATAATCACCAAAAATAATTCTATAACCATCAAAATCTGTTGCAGTGACTTCAACATGAAGTGCTGGACGTTGTTCATCATTCATACGTAATAATGTTCGATGTTTATCTGTCATTGAAAAACGAGTTGATTTTTCTTTTAGATTATTATATCGAACACACATAACACCTTCTTCAATATAACGTGGCCAAAATGAGATGATCTTTTCAAATAAGAAATTAGTCTTTTTTTATTAAAATTAAATTTCAAATATTTACTTCATTAGCTTTAACTACTTTCCATGATTGTTCATCATTTTCTAATTTATTTTCAGTAACTTCAATATCAGACTAAATTAAGAAAATATTAAATATAACTAATTGAAATGATGAATAAATTACTGATGAATTATTAACAATAGCTGTTGATGGTGCAAGTGTTATTATTTTTGTCATGCCAAATGAACTAGTTACAATATCAATACAAACCTTTAAAAAAGAAAATTAATATAAAATAACAATATGAAATAATATTTCGTTACCAAATAAGTTCTATCATTATGAACTTTACAAGAAGTCATGCCAGTACTTTTAATAACATCAAGTGAAAAAGATTCTGACCATTGTGATATATTCTCATCTTGTTCAACACTAAATAATCTAATATGACCTTTCTTTTTATGTGATTCACTATTAAAATTTTTTGGACAAATATAATATGATTGATTTATTGTATCAATAAAGGTTTTTTCATTTTCAATCTAAAACAAAAATTATTTTCATTTATTATTTATCACTTTTTTTAAATTCAAACTTTAAATTCAAATTTAAGATCAGTTGAATTAATTATCCAAAAAGGTGAATAAAATGAAGCACGATATGATTGACGATATGTATCAACACGTAAAACCATTCTCTATTTATATAAAATAATTAATTTTTCAAAAATAAAGAATATCTTTCACTTACTAATGTTTCTCCAGTTATTTTATCATTAAATTTAACAATATGTTCATTATGAATTCCATGACCTTTTTCATTTAAATCAATTGGTTCAGATATCCATGATGAATTATTATATGATGGAATCTATTCAATAGAAAATTAAATTAAATTATTTATATATCAATGAAATTCTTTTTCAACTAACTGTAAATATAAGAATTGATTTTTTATTTCCTTGTATACTATGATATAATTCACTTGATTTAAGTTCAACATTTTCAACATTCTATTAAGAAAAGAATTATTTGTAAATAATCTTATTTAATAAGTAAAATACGAACATCAATTGAACATTGAATTGGAATTGGTAAAAGATTAATTAAATGAAGAGCTAATTTAACATAAATATTAAATGATTTTCGTATTGGTTCATCTGTATTTTCTGAATAAGCTTCAATTTCTTCTTTATAAACCTTTAATTTACATAAGTAGAATGAGAGAAAGTTTATATTAAATTAAAACGTACAACATAATGAGCTTGTCTTCCATCATTTAATTTTAATATTCTATCACTTGATGATTCATTCGCCCAATCAAATGATATAAAATCATTTATTTTTTCATTAGAATTTTCTCTAAAATAAATTATTTGATTAAAATCTTAATTTGAAATTCAAGAAAACTTACTGATGAACAGCAAAATAAAGACGTGGCGTAACTCTTAAATAAAGAAGTTGAATTGGAAGATAAAATTCTTGATTAACATCTATTTTAGCAATTGAATTAAATTGATTTTTTTCAATTGAATCAGCATCTAATAGAATTAATGGCATTGTTGTTCGATTTGATACCTTAATAATTTCTTCGATTTTATTTTAAATCAAAAAAAGAAAAGAAAATTTACTTTAATAATTGAACTAAGAATAACTCTTCTTCTTTCTTCATAAACTTGTGAATCACAAAGTAATTGAATTGGCCATGATGGAACTAATGATGAAGATAATTCATAAACTCTTCTCCATGTTTGATTTATATCAACTAAAACATTATTTTCTCCAATCTAAATTTATTTCAAAATAAATCAAATGAGAAGAGAAGAAAAGAAAAGACAAACTTGAACTTGAAATTGCTGTTTTCTTTTAGCAACTTGTTCAACAATAGCAGGAAGATGAGTTGCAGTTAATCTTTCTTCAGGTACTGTTAAATGGATTATTTCATTACTTTTTAAATTTAATGTTTTTTCTTCAGATTTATTATCATCTGGAAACTAAATAAATAAGTAAATAAAATTACATGTAGAATAAAATTGAAATAAATAAATGTGATGACATACTTCAATTCCAGTAATATTTGATATAATAATATCAAAACCAGTTTGATTATGTATCGATAACATCGATTGTTCTTCATCAATATCCGATGGTAAACCTTGTTTATAAATGTCATTAAACATTGTTGATAATCGTTGACAAAGATCAAGTGTTGTTTTTGTTAATGTTAAATTTAATAAATGTTCACCACGAATAGAAATTACTTTTTTCATATCAAGACTTATTCCACTTGCACTTCCACTTCCACCTTCACTTTTTTCTTTTGATTCACTTTTCTTATCATCAGTAAGTAAATATCGACTCTAAATTTTATTAGATTATAATAACAAATATTACATTTTCTCTCTCTCTCTCTCATAGTTTCGTTAGTAACGTGATAGAGTAGGGATATTCTAAAGAAAAACTCCTCTTAGAATTCAATGACAACTTCAGATAATGATAGTCTCCTTCTATAGCTCGGCTGTTTAGTTTAATAGATTAATATTAAAAATCAAAACTAACCTCTTCATCATTATCTTCTTTTTGATCCTAGAACATTTTTGAATAAAAATAAATTTTGAATAAAAGAGAGAAAGAGAAATAAATACTTGAAGAGTTTCACAAAGAATAGTCCAAGGTGATTGAACAGTTCCTTTATCATCAATAATTGGTTCGATTAATGGTTCCCATGATAAAATATGATCATTAAATAAAGCTAATTCAAATTGAATTGATGATGAAACAATAATCTAAAGAAATTTCGAATTTAAGTAGAAAATATTTTTGTTAAAATAAAAACAAACATCCGATGACCAATTTTCAATATTAGCATAGATATCTGATAGACAAACAGCAATAACTGGCCGAGTTGATGAACCTTTTCCTAATTCAATTTTAACTTCAATTATATTTAAATTAACAATTAACTAAAATAAAAAAGAAGAATTATTTTCTATAAAAATAAAATATTAACTTGTTGAGAATAATTTTGATATTTTTCAATATTTTTATCTTTTTCTTTTTCTTTAATTTCATTTGTTTTTTCTGAAGGTGAACCAGTTGTTAATTCTAATATATCAATATCATCAAGTAATTCTTCTTTTTCTTCAAAATCTATTTTTAAAAATAAATTCAAATAAAGAAAAAAAGACAAGAAGGAAACCTTTAATAAACCAAAATGATGAATCTTTAAATTGTTTTGGAATAAATATTGTTTTTGAATTAACTTTTTCTTTTTCATCTTTTGGATTCTCCTACATAAATAAATCAAAAGAATAGAATAAAAACAAATGAAATTAAAAGTGATTAACTTGTTTTTTATTAATTGAATTTAGAAGATTAACAAATGTTCTAATAATAGCTGGATCAACATTAATCGATATATCTCCAATATTAAGATCAATTTTTTGTTCATTTTTATTTATAATTATCATTGCATCAATTTCCGAAGGAGATAAGACCTATTGAAGAAAAAGAAAAGATTTGAAATGAATTTTTAAATAGAAAAACTAATTACTGAATAACGAATTTGAGATTCTTTTAATTGTTGAAAATTCGTTCCAAAAAACGATAAATCTTTAATTGAACTTGAGATCTTTGTTTCATCACCCAAATTAATTAAATCAATTGATAATGTTAAATTAAGTGCAAGACAATCACTATTTTCTTTATTTTGATCTTCAAGTAAAACAATTTGAGATGGATTTAAAATAAATTCTAATCTTGTTTCAATATTATTTGATTTCGAATCTTTCGACGGTGGAACTAAAAGAAAATGAATATTTCTTTTTTTTAGAAAAAAATTTCAAGAAAAAAACCATAATTATTTGTTTTTGTATTTGATTGATCATTTGATGGTTGTTGTTGTTGTTGTTGTTGATAAATAGATATTGATTTTGATGGTAATGGAAGATTTAATTGTAATGAATGTTTATTAAATGTTTTATTTTTTGTTTTTTCAATAAATGATATATCATAATCAATAAAATCTTTTATTGAATTAAATAAATCTGGACTTAAACATATATAAAAACTTTCCATTTTTCCATTAACTAATTAGAAAAAGAAACAGTTTTTTCTTTTAAATAAAATTCTTGAAAATACTGACTTTGTCTATTGAATTGTTTCAATTGAAGTTGAATATTAAAAATGGGATTATTTTCTTTGACATTAAAATGTTTATCAATAAGACGTGAAATTTGTTTATCTCGAAGATCATCTAAGTAAATTTGTTGAATTTGAAATATTCCATTTAATGTTGAATCAGAGAAATATTTAAAATTTGATTCAATTGATTTTATTATTAAATTAAGAAGTTTAGAATTTTCATCTTGTTGATAAAGTTCGAAAGTTATTTGTTTAATTTGAAATTGAAATTGAATTATTTCAAAAGATTCATCTTTTTTTCTCGAAAGATCTTTATTGGATTTGATTTGTTTCGGTTCAATTTGATTTTGATGTTGATCTTCATCTTCGTCTGTTTGAATATTTTCAATTTGTGTAAATTGATGAAAAGTTTTTTCTTTAAAATTTTGTTTTAAAATTTGATCAATAAATGCATAATCATCTTTTGAAAATTTCAATTGAATTGTATCCCATTGAATTTTAATTTCAATATGATTTTTGTCTGAATTAAAATAGCGATTAATTAATGTTAAAAATGGTGAACATTGAAATAAAGAATTTTTTTCAATAATTTCATTATTTTCATTTAAAATAACCCGATTTGATATAATATTATCAAATGTTATTCGATGTTGTTCATTAAATTTTTCATTTGAATCTGTATGCATTTGTAAATTTCCTAAATCAATTGAAATGGCTTTATTTGAATAAGAATTAATTGGTAAAAGAATTTGAGGAAGATTTAAAATAAAATCCAGATGAAATTCAATTGAATGTTTTTGATAATTTTGTAAAATTTTTGCAAAAGAATTCGATCGTTCTTCTTCTTCTTTTATTTCTTTTGGTTTTGGTTTTTGTTGTTTTGTTTGAAATGAATTAATTAATAATAAAATAAATTGAATATGTTTATTAAGATAAATAATATTTAATTTTTCAAATTTTCCTTTAAGAAATGATTTATTTTCTTTGGATTTTCTTTTTTTGTTAATAAATTTATTTTCATGATTTAATAAACATAAATCAAATTGAATAAAATCATTTGATGAATTTTCTTTTGATATTAAATATTGATAACGTGATTTAACATATAAATCAATTAAACGAATATCATTTAAAATAAAATGTAAACATATTTTTAGATTTGTTTGTGATAAATAACCTTGAAATTGTTTTAATTCAATATATAACATATGAACACGTTCATTTCCAATTAACAAATTAAATCCTTCAATAGTAAAATCTATTTTAAATGATGATGATGAAGATTCAGAAGATTCAGAAGAAGATGAAGATGAAGAAGATGATGATGATTGAATTTGATTTTGTTTTGGTAATTGTGATAGTTTTTCTTTAATATTATTAGTAAATGAAATAATTGATTGAAAAGCTTGTAAATGAAAATAAATGAAAATTTGATTTAATGTTAATTGAATATTATTTTCAATAGAATTATATGGTGATGAATTAAATAATGGATTTGTATCGGATGTTAATAAACAATTCATTTGAAATAATTTCGAATTATTATTTTGACGATTTAATAAATTTAATTTTTCATTGTTGTTATTTGTTAAAAATTGTTGATGAATTATGTAAAAATTGTCTAATGAAATATTTAAATCAATATCATAAGTTTTAATATTTGATGAACATTGAATCAATTCAAATGAAATTTCTAAAAATTCTTCACAATAATCTGATAAATCTAATAATGCACGTTGAAATTTAATATTTATCTGAAAGAAAAATTGATTTTACAAAATTTGAAAAATAAAAAAAAGGAAATTTTTACTTTTGATATAAAAAAATTGAATTGAAGTTGTGTTATTTGTTGTTGATTATTTAATTTATTTAAATCAAGATTTTGTTCTTCTTCACGAAGAATATTTTGTATAGGTGTCATCTTTTCAATTGTTTCATATGTTTCTTTTGTACTTGGAATTGACTTTTTCTTATCTTTTGACAAAGTTTTCTTTGAAAAAATAATAAAAAAAATTATTGAAAAAAACTAAGTGATTCAAACTTGATCTTGTTGTTGTTGTTGTGGATTAGTTTGAAATGATTGTGGATATGGAATTGTTTGAATTAATTTTAAAAATTGAAATAAACGTGTATCAGATAAATGACATTCAATTAATTTGATTTCACCATCGGCTTTCCAACTAAAATATATTTAATCAATTGATTTCTCAATTAAGAAAAAGAATAGTTTATCTTGGAGAATCTATTCGATGAAATCCTCTAAAATATAATTCTAATTTCAAAGTATTTACATGGGTATATTTGTATTTTGAACATTAATTGATTTGAGAATATTTAATGTTATTGTTATTGGTTGAATTAAATGTGATGGAGATTCTTGTTTAGAAATCAAATCTTTCCAAGATTCATCTTCAAATTAAAAGAAATTAAAAAAAAAGAAAAGAAATGAAATGAAATAAATAAATACTTTGATTAAGATAAAGTAATTGAAATTGTTTTAATTGAATTTCAATTGGAACAAATAATGAATCATTGTTTTCATCAACTGAACTCTACGAAAATAATAAAAATAAAATTTCAATAATAGATTTAAACAATTAAAAGAAAATACTTGTGCATCATGAAAAACATCTTGTTGAATTTTTAAAAGATTTTTCTTTCCACCTTTAAATGATAAATGACCAAAATCCAAACAAATCATTGATGAAGATCTTTTAAAAAGAAAAAGAAAGAAATAAAAAGAGAAAATGAAAATGAAATGTTTAACTCATTTAATGTTCCATAATCAGGTAAAATAAAATAAATTGATTGTATATGAATAAGAATATCTAAATCTTGAATTTTTTTAAGATTTTCACTTAATAAAAATTGTGTTCGATGTTTTATATCTGTATAAATTGAATAAGCAGCTTGTTTTATTCTATTCAAATTTAAAATGAAATTATTTTAAGAAATTAAATCAAATCAAACCCTTCTAAATCATGATGTTTATCAGGAAGAAAACATTCAAATAATTTATTAATTGTCATCTTTACAAGAAGAAGAAAAAAAAGAGATTTTGTTTTTCTTTTAGAAAATTGAAATCTTACTGCATGATAATTGATTTGTAAAGATTGTGAATAAGCAAGAATACGATAATCAACTTTTGTATTGATTGGATTTGTTTCAAATTCAAAATGAAGTAAATTTTCTTGAGATTTATTAAATTGTTGAATTAATATTGGACGAGATGTTTTATTATTCTTATCTTCATCAATTCCATACATTTCAATTGTTTCACAATCAATCATAAAACTTAAATTAAATAGGTTTTTTTAATTTACAAAAACAAATTCTTATTTCATACAGAAAATCATCTTTTGCTGGACGACGTTGATATTGTAATTGACTTTGAGGAATTGATATTGATGAAATGATTTTAAAACTAAAAGAAAATATTTTATTAAAATCTATTCAAAGAAAAAAAAAGATGAAATTACTCGACATCATCTTTATTCATTAATGACCAAACATTTAATTCAGTTAAATTAAATCGAATTGATACATTGATATCAATATACTTGATTTTAACAAAAGAAAAAAATCATATTGATTTACAAAATAAATAAGAAGAAAAATACAAACATCATTTGGATAAGAGATTTGTTTATCTGATTGATCATTATATCCAATAGCTTTATATAATTTCGCTTTTTCTTCATTTGATAATGATTCATTAAAATGAAATTCTACACAAATAAAATGAAAATAAAAATAAAAAATATTTAAATAAGAAAATATTTCACCTGAATCTTTCTTATCAGAATCCGAATTCCACCAATTATTAAATTTATCCCACCATGTTATACTTTTATCTTCCACTTTTTTCTTTGTATACTTAAATAAAACACAAATTCGAAAATAAAAAATGTTTTAAAAACAAAAACTATTTTACTTGAATTTGTGCAGTTCGACGAATATAAATTAAATTAAAAACATCAATTTGTTTTTCTAATTCCTTTAGAAAAAAAATATTTAATAAAAAAAAACCAATTTGAAAAATGCAAATCAAACTTGTTGTCTTTGTTTATTATTTTGATGATTTAAATGATTATAATAAATCTCTGAATATTCTTTATAACGTTGAAGATTTTCTTTCATATTTTCCCATTTAAATGAAATTAAACGTGGTCGAACATTTTCATGAACAATACTTGTATATGCAAATTTCCATCTAAAATATTTGATTTTTAAAATATTTATTGAAATACAGATTTCGACATATTTTTACCTTTTTACAGCTATTTTATCAGATTGAACATCATCATCAATCATTTGATAATATTTTCTATATTTCGATTTAATATTAAGATAATCTTCATATTCAAGAAAATCAAGTAAATCAGCATACTAAAATTTGAAGAAAAGAAAAAAAGCAAATGATTTTTGTTATAAAATAAGAAATCTTACTTGATTTTTATTAATATTTAAATAAATATTATTAAATTGAATATCACCATCAAGAATTTTTGCTTCAAAATTTTCTTCTTCACTTGTTTTACCAATTTTTAATTTTGTTTGAACATTTAATGGTTGAAGAACTTTAAGAATAAAATAAATTTTTGAAAAAACAATTTTATATCATACTATAATTCATTTGAGGAAATTGGAGATGATTATCAGACTTTAAATCGTTCTAAATAAATGAAAAAGTTTGAAAAAATCTTTATCAAAAACAAAAATTGTATTTATTTACAATAATTTGTTCTTTAGATAAATCTAATCGAGATTGAATATTTGAATTCCAATAGATTGATAAATTATTTATTTCTCCAAACTAAAATATTAACTAAACAAATAAAAACAAAAACAAATTTTTATTTTTATTTAAATCAGACTTTATAAATTAGATTTGAATCTTCTTTTAATTCCAAATTTTCAAATTGATCATTTGTTGTCTAAAGAAAATAAAAAAAAATATTTTATAAAAAGAAATATTGAAATATTTACACTAAATCTTAAATAATCAAGTGTTATACCAAATTGAAATGGATAAGATTTTGTTGTTTTATCATCATAAGCAATATGAATATGATTGATTTCAACTTCAAGATTTCTTAAAATATGAAATTGTAAACGTTCAAGAAATGTATCTTTATGATGAGCACATTTCGCATCATTTTCTATTAAATAAAATTTTTTATAAAACAAATGCTTTTTAGAAAAAATCAAAATCAAACCATATTGTTCTTTTTCAAAACGAAATTGTTCGACTTTTTCAACTTGTTTCATTTTCTTTTCATATTCATCTTTTTCTTCTTTTTCTGGATCATAATTAACATCTATTGAAATTACAATTGAAATATTTATAGAAATAGAAAATAATAATTAAACCTGTCTTTCGTGATAAAAGTATATATAATCCTTCGATTTCAATTTTAGTTGGTTGAACATAAAGATGTTTCCATGGAAGATGAATTTTTAATTTTTCTATTTTTAAAATAGATTTACAATTTCAAATAAAGATTTATTTAATTTTTACCGAGATAACCAGTTTCAATATCAAATGGAAGATTTAAATCTTTCTATTAAGAATAAAAGAAAAAACATATATTATTTTGATATTTAAAATAAGAAATTAATTACAAGTGCACTGGTTTTTAAATAAACATTATTAAGTGTTATATCACCTAAATAATATTAGAAGAGAAAAAAGAGAAAATATTTATATAAAAATAACAATTATTTTACCATTCCATAAACTTATTTTTAATTGATGAGAATCAATATCTTCAATATAATTTCCCAAAAATTTATCAATAAAAAATGCTCCCAAATGTGCAAATACCATTTTGAAATTAATTTACACTTTTTTATTTTATCCAGATTTCATCTAAAACATTGATTTTAGTTTCTACTTAAAAAATAATAGAAATATATTAATAAAATAAAATATTGAATCATAGAAATTTAAATAAATATTTTTCAATAAGAATTTCAAGATTTTATTTCGATAAAACATTTATTTTTACCTGATTCATCTTTTAGAATTAATTTCTCAATAAAATTAACACAAATTCCAAAACAAAAATATTTGAACTTTCTCACGTTACTATAACACGTGATAACATTTATCTCAAAAACTTTACTTACTTTCATAGTATCATTATTATCATTATTTAAAAAATATCATTTATCTTATTCTGATATATATCTATACATAAAAAATACAAAGAATTGATTGATAAAAATAAGTTTTGATTTGCAATGAGAAAAATAGATATTTTATCAAACAAACGATATCAAATGAATATATATATATGTTTGATTTCTTCTAAATATAGATTTACACATGTGTTTTTTTTCTTTCTCTCGTTCTTTCTACTGTTTGCTGACTGACGGACGATGAAGAAATCCTCTGAAGAGAATAGAAAAAGAAAAAGTTCGTTTTTTTTCTCTTTACTCGATAAGAAATGGAAAAAAAACAAACTATCTGTATCTACACGTGTTTTTATATATATCATATTTACCTTTATTTGAACTCATTCAACTGTTCTTTAAGAATATATTTTATTCACATATTAGAATAAACATTACTTTCATCAAGAAATATTTCACAAATCTAAAGATTCTTTAGATTTAGTTCATGAAAACCATTTCAATAAATGAAATATTTAATGACTAAATATACGAAAAAAATCTACACAAATCGATTTATTTTATCGATAACTGAATAAGAAGTTAATATTAAGACGAATCTCTTATATATTCTGTCAAACAAATTGATTTTCTTTTTTAGCGACATATGCTTATTCAAGGTCTTCTTTTTAATATGAGTAATATAAATAAAAATTTCTGTATACTACTATTATTATTATTATTATTACTATTCTTACAAAGAAATTTAATTTTTCAGTAAATAAGATAAATTCATGTGAACTATTTTCTCGTCTAGAAATGTTATTTTTTATGCAAGAAGATTAGAAAATACAATTGAATCAAATAATATAACCAATCTAATTGTGATGAAAATATATATTGCTTATTGTAATATATGAAAAGTTTCGTTTCTATATTTGTGATATTGTATCTAAAGTGACAAATAAGCTAAAAGAATTTTCGTTAATATTTTCTTATTCTTTTATAACATGAGACAAGGATTAGTTAAATATTTTGAAGATATACGTTGTTGATCTAAGATTGATCTTATCATGACTCTTCTACCCGCATTCATCCTAGATTCTTTCAGTCTTTTTTATCAGTTATTATTTGATGAGTTTAACATTTAAACGTGATAGAAAAGAAAATGTTTTGTTCGATTATTTGCCCTTTTGAAACCGTTCTTTCATCCTTCACGCAATAGGGTCATTGAGAAATCTATAATAACGGATCTCTCATGAACTATAAATAGTATATATATGATAGAAAACTCTTTGTAGAATTTATTTATGAAAACTGAAGAGCCTTCAAATTTAAATATTGGCTGTAAACGATGTAGTTATTATACTTATTCCACACCACATCCCCATGATTTTTCGATTTTTACAAGTTTTATCTGGAAGTAAATTTACAGTGAGGCTGGTTATAATAAATATATTTTGTAGTGAAAGCAAGTTCCTTTTCTTATCTTAACTAACAGACGCGAAAAAATGACGCAAAGCTACAGTGATGGTGTATCGAGAAAAGAATACAGTGAACAAACGAGAAAAGAAATTCCAATTATTGATTTCTTATTAAATAATGTGGGTGTGGGACTATCCGAAATCGGGCACCTGCACATGCATCCATACGCACACTTTTAAGAGTATATGCTTTTTAAGTTTAGTGACTGGTTAAGAATTGATAAATGCTCCGTAGGAAGAGTCATAGCTTTCCGATGTGATTCCTGTTAGGCGGATGGCAGTGGAAATCTTGAAATTTTCTCTCGATGCTTCCAGCTCATTTTAGATAGGGCATAGAGGATAAGACGGCGGAAAATTACAAAGAAATCCGGCGCGGAATACTGCTACCATGAAAACTCCGAAATGCTCCAGAACCGAACGGTTCTTTGCCGAATTGTTCGACCTGGATTTGTATCTGAACGATTATGTACGAGTTCCAATACAATATCAATTCTACTTTTATTATTTTTTATCATATATTTCATTATCTGACCTAAAAAACATAGATAGTAACGCAATTGATTTGTTCGTGATAAATAATTAATACAGAAAAATGCACGTAAGAATTTAATTTTAATTTTTTAATTTTTATGAAGTTGTCTGTGTTATGTAGATTAAGCACAGACGATGACCAAATCTATTTAAGAATGGTAAACAATATTTCAATTGAAGAAGTGATGTATTTATTAAATACTGGGGACGATAAAAGTAAGGTTTGTGATGCCTTTTAAATAATTATATTTAATAACTTTTTCCAATACTCCTAGATAGATCAGATAAAATGGAACAGATCCGAAAAATAAAATATGATATCAATAGTCATCGCAATTTTAATTCTGATATGAGCATCATAATTCGTGTTCAATTAAAACATTAGTTAGACTATCAGTAGAGAAAGGATTATCTATTGTTCATAAGTCTCAGAATGTAGGTGTGAAAGCAGAGTGTGTGGATACAAGATTAATTCAATAAACGCACCCATAACTACAGTCACCCACCTACACCCACACTCTCGAATATTTCTATGAAGATAATCTATGAATATTACTACTTATTGATTGTATGTATTTATCTGAACAAAATGAGTCAATATCTATAAAAACTAAACAATTGTTCAAAATTATTGTTTTCGATGGAAAACACAATTTATTCGTGGGGAAACATGAAGCAAGAACTTGAAGTCTTCTATCAATACAATCTGTTTGATGAAAATGATATTAATCATGTTAATAACAGAAATATGCAAGATAAATTTAAAAACTATTTCAACACAGCCGATCCAACATCAATGAATATTAAACTTAAATTGAATGAAACTTATTCTATATCATATGTCAATTATGATTGATCTTGGTGGTAATTCTACGCAAACGCACATAGTTGATTTAATGGCGCATTTAATTGCAAACTTGGACGATGGACAATGTCCTCATTCCACTGACATTAAAAACGAAATTTGGCCAATGGATGGAAGCCGCGTTGATATAATTGTTCTTGGTAAACTGGAACAGAGTAAATATTTCAATAATAATAATTTACCAGCATATTTCTTAAATCATATAGTGAGTATTACTACTTATTTCTTTTTCATTTTAAAACAAGACATATATATATTAGATTCCTATGAATGTACATGCATCAATAGTGAATCCACAAACGAACACTCATTCAAACAGTATTTTGATCATATGCTGGTTGATACCATAGAACATCCCAAAAAATATTTTAGTAGAAGAATAAATTTGTCTATTTCTTCACTTCCACTAACAGTTTCATCAAGATCCGTTGTTTTTATCAATATCATAATTGGTATATAAGAAAAATTTTTGTTGATCGATATGTTCTATTAAGAAAAAATGATTTTTTCTCACAAACATTAATGCAATACATTCTGCGAATTCTTTTTTAGCTTGTAATTCTGTTTTAAAAATTAGTTAAAGATTGATAAATTTGAAAAAAATTAACGTAGGGTATGGGTAAATAACAGATAAATCCATACCCACCCTTTGTAATGAAACATAGATGTTCTAGGCATAACTGAATTTTTTTCGTCTCTTTAGTCAATAATACAAGACGAATTTTCATTGTCATGTCTAGACCCTGTACGCCTTTATTTGAATAAAAAAGTTCAATATTCATTCAAGAACTACATTCGGCTACACCATTATTCGATTTAACTCTTTAAAAGAATCAAAAACAAAACAAAACAATACAGTCAAGGCATGAGGTGAACTTCAGCAAAGGTACAATTGTCAATATCCTCTTGCGCAGTCGCAATAGCTTGTCGACAAAGAATACACTGTGGCGGATTTGTTAATGTCGCACGCTGTCGTAGATCTGACAGGCATTTGCCGCATACTGTCTTATGACCACACGGAAAACATCGATGGAAGATGGGATGTTCGAAACACATGAGACATTCTTTGGCTTTGACCACTTGATCAGCAATCATTTCAAGCTGTTCGACAACTTTGGCAGCCGTTGGTCGTAACTTAGCTTCGGAATTAATGCAATTAATTATCAATATTTTATATCGTTCAGGTAGATGAGTTAGTGTACGGATCTCGGCGGTCGTAATGATATCAAGCGGTTGATAATAGACTGCTTTCGGAGCCACCATATACATCAAGATGCCAAGTGAAAATACGTCGACTGCAGTACCTTCGTAAGAGAAGTTAGCCCATGTATAAGCATTATTTAGTTCTGGTGGTAAGGGTCGTGATCCAATGATCGTCATGTTTTCGTTACCATGTTGGCACGTTCCGAAATCAGCTAGATAAATATTTTTGTCATTGTCAAGCAAAATATTTTGAGCTTTGATATCGCGATGAATAAGATGTTGTGCATGCATTTCTGCTACAGCTCGACTTACATGAAGTACAATACGTACAGCATCGTTCATAGATAGATCGGCCATGTGAGCAGTTAAATACGTATGTAGACTCATCGAATAGCGTGGTAGAAAAATATACAATCCACCACTTTGACTATCATGATAGAGAGCACGTAGTGGAACGATGCGTTCTATATTAAGTCGAGTTATTGCACGATGAAAGTGTGCCTCCATGTAAGCGACAGCCGGTGATCCTGCCGGATGCAAAAGAACTTTTGCTACAAGATCTCGCTCAGAGCTCCATGACGCAGGATGAGTGGAGAAAAAGCCACCACGACCTAACACTGTACCCATATCGATCATCGGTGTACGTCCATAACGCTTGATTAAATCTGCATTAGCGACCAGAAGACATTCAATACGAGCAAACTCGCCCGCAAACAAGCGTGTCAGTCGGTACGCTTGTTGACGACGATCCATAGTGGCTAAAATAATTTTATGGTAGGCATGAATTTTTTCTTTGAAAAAGATCTCATTCGCTTCAAGTCCGTCACGAATGTTTCGCTTAATACGTTCACCAACACTCGCAAAATTTTGTTCAATTTGCCTAAGATCATGTTCAAATCCGTCTCCACTATCGTGCTTATCAGAGTCGTCGACTTCCAATTCTGTAATAGCAAAAATCGTGCCAACAGCATTTAAAACCCCACTTATTCCCGCAAGGATTTCTCGAAATGAATATTTCTTAAAATACTCGCGACGACGTTTTTCATCGACAATATTAATATGATTGAGAAAGTCTCGGTAAGCCGCTCGAATTAACTCATTCTTTCGAGTGGTTCGTCGTACAAGTAAGCGTTGATCGACTTGTTCACTGACTTGATGACTGATTTGGTCAAAGATTTGACTTAGAGTAGGTCGAACAATTTCTTCTTGGATGAGCAGGCGAAAATAATTCTTGTTATCAGATATTTCAAATGGTTGTATGGCATTGACTAAACTGACACTCGAAATCTGCATCTGTAATTCTTCGGATCGCCCTTTTCTATAGGCAAACATTTTCTTCGCTAGTCGGTCGCGTTGTTGACAACATTGAGCAAGAAGTTGTTTTTGTGCTTCATCACCAAGCACATCAACCTGTAAACGATATTCTTGAAAGAACTCATTTGTCCAATGCAAGGCTTCATCTCGTAAAAGATTCCACTCGCTCGGCGAACGTCGATTGGTAATGAGAACGAAATCGAAGAATTCATCAATTGCATCCAACATGATGGTACTGACTTGTTGTGTAGTTCGCAATACATGCTCAAAAGCAAAACGAATGATACGATCCACGGCATTTTGTCTAATCATTCGAGTCATCGGATGGTCGAAAGGTTCAACACTGTAAATATCAAAACGATTACATTCGACTAGTGTTCGAGGCAATTGGTGATGCGTGACCAATGCATTTCTCAAATACTCATATCGATGATTTCGGTCATGATCCAGTGAATTATCGGCTTTGGTGTTGAGAAAGAATATGTTATCGTGGAACACACTACCAAGAGATAATTGCAAATGTTCATAATATTTTTGTGTTTCATCTGTTAGTGTGGTACCCGCATAAAGAAAAAGGAAACATGGACGTGTCACATGAATGTTATTCATATCGACTGCTGCAGCTATGTCATATATATCGATATTCAATTGTAGAAGACGTGATGGAATACGAATTTCCACGAGAGATGATGCCCAGTCGCCCGGTTCGATAGAATTTTCTCCACAGAGCAAATAAGACTGAATGGTTTTGCGGAACTCCTGCGAGAGGAGATGCGTTTGAAAGAACGATGATAGATCGATACGATTGGCAAGCGAAGTGGAGTGCCTGTCCTTGTCATGTATGAGTATGCAGGCTCTGTTAGCAGGGGCATACGAAAATTTAACATTTCGTTGTGAAACATTTTCGACGTTTATCGGTAAGAATGGACCACAGTCGAGGAGCTCTTGAATGAAGGATGTTTTTCCGGAAGATTTTTCACCGCAGACGACTAATTCTATTTTATCTGCTATCTTAAATTGCCTAAGAGTGGCCATTTTATCTGCATCGAGAAAGATGTTGACCACATCTTTGATAGTATCCAATTGGTTGTAAACCGATGCCACATCATGCGCAAAGCGTTGTTGAAGGCTACAAAACTGCGAAATGATCGAATGGGTTGAATTTTGAATAGTTCTATTTGAACGGATCATACATGCAATCGCATCAGAACTATCATGGTTACTAGTGGATGCCATCGTTTCTCACTAATCTGAAATAACTCACTTTTTCGCCTCTAAGGAGTATATTTACGAACCACTCGTTGTCGTTTTAGTCTTCACGAATGAAAGAAGTATATTATTTGCTCTTCGACGTGTTTATGTACACGCATTTATCTTTTATTGATATAAGATAGCATGTTAACACTGTAAAACGAAGAGTAAAACATTTAACACTAGAAAAAGGTTTACGAAGTTAAAAATTCTCATGAAACTTTCAGAAACTCTTCTATCGTATATGACAAGGGTGTGCGTGTAGATTTAAGGTTGATCCTATCACGCACTCTTCAATGCACACCGATACTCAAGAATTAGCTTTAAAATTTCACTACTGCATGCATAATAGAAAAAAAAACACAATATAAAAAGGTCATATAAAAATAAAAAATGATAAATGGAAAATGAGGTTAAATAAATTGAGATCAATATCAGCAGTAGTCCTAAGTGATTGATAAATAAAAACAGACAATAAAGTTAAAAATGAAATTAGACACTGCTTATCTATATAAGCAAACAATAGTATATATTGACTACAAATGAAAAGCTCTTCCCCTCGGGAAAAAACTGATGTCTAATCTATTTTGATTTCTTCAAAACCTAATTTTTTTCGTAATTTGCTTACATTAGTCATACTACAAGCAAAAGAAAGAGAGTAAAAACAGATCAAGCAAACTTCCATAAATAATAAAATAATCGGCAAGAAGCACTTGAAATAACGAAAAAAGAAATTATGAAAGAAAACAATAAAGAATGGTATATTTCAGGTCAAATTGATCTTTAGTTGTGATAAACTCTAATTTGATTAAGTTTTGTCTTCTGTGACACCAACGCGAGAATGACAAACGGTTTTTGTCGATTTTCCGTGCTGCTTCTCTATCGGAAAATCGGTTAGCTTTCTTCGTAATATGCTCTTGTAGACTGCTGAATATCTGACTGGATCGAGTTTGAATTTAATATGAATTGCATCTTTAAAAATTATTGAATGACTTTTTCTTATTTATAGAATCTACAAGAATTATTAATCATACCATTGACTAGCTGATATCTCGTTTCATCTAAGCTTGGTCAACCTAAAAAGCATCTTGTTAGAGAAAGCACATTACTATGTCGTTCATCGTCACGAAAGATAAGTCTCATTATTTTTCGAGCAGAAACTTCTATAGACGATGCTATTATTGCTAATAAATTAACATTTTAATATATCTGTAAATAAAAAATTTATGTACATGTGATATAAAAGAAAAACTAGTATTATAACTGAAAATATTATCTAATAGTTTTTGTCTGTTATTTGTACGATTGTATATACGCTTTCGTTTATTTCAATTATTTTTTTTTTGATGAATTCAGTTGAGAATTTAATATATCCTGATCCTCATTATCGTTTTCATTAGAGGTGCAAAATCTTCCCACACTCACACCCGCTTTCAGTATTGGACATAAAGGAATTCTTTCCTCAAAACTAAATACACCTATAATAAATTTTTATTGAATAAATAGAGTTTGAAATGTTTATTTATTAAAAAAAATTCAAGTAGTTGCAAAGATACATTGTGAGGATAAATATTACATAAAAATAATATCAAAAAAAGAATAAAATTATTTTCATTAAATAAAAAAAAGTGTTATTAAAAAATACTATTCGTTAATTTGTTTGTTAAAAAAAGATTCATCATTTTTCATAATCATATCCTTTGGTGGAATTGATTTTCCATAAATTAAATCACGTCCATATTGTATCGTTAGTCTTTTTAATTCATTTTTCCTATCAGATGTTAATTGAGACCATTGAAAACGCCATGACCAATTTTGTCGACCATCTTTTTCCAATGAACATTCTTTATAGATGAAACATAGTATTTATTTATTTATTTAAATAAAAAATTTTTACCATTTCCTGGATAATTCATTCTTATGTCAGTATTTAAAATATCTGGCATGTGTAAAATAGCTCCATTTGATGATGATTGAAGAACTAATTGAATAAAAATCCAAGATATAAAATTTTCCAAATGTTTTTCTAATTCTAATTGATTTTCATTTTTAAATGAATAACGAATATATTCAATAAATTGTTCTTTTTCTTTTTTTGTTGCTAATTTTTTCCACCATTCCAATGTTGTTGCATTATCATGCGTACCTATACTTATCAAAATTAATTTTTTTAAATTTATATTTAAAATAAATATTAAAGAATTTTTCTATAATCTTGAAATTATATTTTATTAGTAAATGAAAAAGAATCTTGATTTCATGCTTATACCATAATTATTCTGATAGTTAAATCATAAGAGAAAATATTGAATTTATCATTTATCTATATTTACTAAGACTACTATTTCTCAAATATTAAAAATAATCTAAATTCTATTTAAAAAAAAAAAGTTTGAAACCTGTATATGCGAATGAATTATAAATATAATTATGTGGAGCATAGATATTATCAGGATAAGTATTAAAACCCATTTGCAATATTCTTATACCATAAAAATGAAACTGATCACGAAGATTAAATACTTCTAATGTAACATCACCAATATCTTCAACAATTAATGGTATATCAGATCCAAGAGATTTTTTAACTTCTGTAAATAATTCATAACCACTAAATTTGAAAATAAAAATTCAATTTTGTTCTATATTATTAATTAAATAAACAAACATACGGTGTATTAATCCAATGTGCATTTGATATAATTGGTTTCGATGTATTCATATCAATAGGTATAACATAATGTGATATAAATCCTCTAAAATGATCAATTCTTAATATATTAACATTTTTTAATGTTTTAGATAAACGATTTATCCACCATTGAAATAAATCATTCCTTATACTTTTATCATTCCATTTATAAATCGGTTGATTCCATATTTGAATATCATATTTATCACTTGATGGAAAACCTAAAGATTTTATTTTAATCAATAATTCAATATTCTCTTTTCTTTATTAACACTAGATAATATCAGAATTCTTCATATATAAACAATCGAAATCAAAAGATTGTTTACAGAAATTGAAATAATAATATATTTCGATGAAAATTTTTAATTTGGTTAGAATTTCAATACAAACTGACTGAGTATATAAAACAATTAAATTTCAATAATATACAATGATAAATGACGAAATATATTATTCAGTCTACTAAACAATTACGAATCTATGTTATATTCGTATAAGATTTTTAAAGGACAATATTAGAAAAAAATTTTCTTTCTCGATAATATGTATTGATTTTCACACGTTTTGTTTTGTTTCATTATTGTTGTGTTCTTTTGTCGAAAAAGCTCTCTAATATTTTTTTTATATAAATCAAATACCTGAAACAATTGTGGGTTTGAATGTTTGTTGATCTAATTGAAATAAATGTTGATTAGTCCAAACATCAGTCGAATGATAATCAAGATAAATCGGTATATCACCAATAATTTGTATCTTATGATTATTAGCATAAGTTTTTAATTGATTCCATTGTTGATAAAATATATATTGAACAAATAAATAATATTGAAAATGATGATTTTCATCTTGACGAAGTTTATCTAAAGATAATTTCTCTCTTGAACGATATTGATGAGGCCAATCAGACCATGTACCTTCATTATACTTAATTATATAGAAATGAAATATTTTATAAAAATATTTTTTAAAAACAAACTTTATTTTTAAGAATCATAAATAAAATAAAATCATCAATCCAATATTTTTCATTTTCATAAAATTCATTTAAAATATTTTTCCAATTTTCATTTAATTTTTCAAAATTTTTTAAAGCTTTTTTTAATAAATTTTCTTTGATTTCTTTAATATATTTAAAATTAACATAATCATCGGAAATTTTTGATTTATCAATAAAATTGAAATCATTTTCTGTTAAAAAATTATTTTCTAATAAAATTTCAGGAGAGATTAACCATGGATTACCAGCAAATGATGATATACCTACAATATATTAATTCTATTGAATTATTTCAAAATAAAATGAAATTCTTACATGAATATGGTGATGGAGAATTAGTTATAGTTAATGGTAAAATTTGCCATAATTTTTGTTTTGTTTCAAATAAAAAATCAATAAATTTAAAAGCTTCTCGTCCAAAATCTCCAATACCATATTTTGATGGTAATGATGTTATATGAACTAAGATTCCTGATGATCGTTCTAATCTCATTTTTGTCTCAAAAATATATTCTCAAATAAAAACAAACATTTTTATTTCAATAATATCACATTTTATTTTATTTCTTTTCAATTTCATATTTGGAAAAATAGAATTATTTCAAAAGATTTATTCATATGTATAAAAACAAAGAAAAGAAATAAAAATATGTCTTAATCGATGATTTCTCCCTCTTTTTTTCTTTCTATAACATATAAACAACAACAACATCAACATACATAGATGTAGTATGTCACGTTTCTTCCTACGAACGAATGAGAAAAATATATAACAGACTCTTTTTCTTTCTTCTTTTTCTAATATTATCATAATAATAATAATAATAATCTACTCTCTCATCTCTTAGATAAAATAAGAAAAATATATGATAAGATATTTCAATCAAAAAGGACATATCTGTCACAGAAACTTGAAAAAGTTTTATCCAAAGAATTAAATGAGTATTTTTCTATCTGAAAAATACTAACTCAAGTGCTCATTCTATGTTGAGTTGATTCTATAAAAAGAACTTCTTAATTAGTTAATAGATGCACTACTTTGAAGCATATTATAATCGAAATTTAAATTCTAAATATTTTTATTTCAATAAATTATAAAAAAAAATCGAAAACGAGAATAAAATTGAATAATATATAATATATTTGAATGATAATGTTTATTGTCATTAATTATTTTTATTCGAACCATTTCAAGTATCACCTTGAGCAGATAATCGATTGGAATCTAGACCAGTTGAACCTACATAATCACTACGTTGAACTAAGAAAATATAAAATAATAATATTTTTAACTGAAATTATTTCAAGGATAAAATCTTTTATTATCTTTATTTATATTTTTAGAAGTTTATAGGAATAAATATTGAATTAGATTTTAGAAAAAAATTTCATTAGTTTAATACCTTTTTTTGTTTCTTTATTAGTTGATTCTTCATGATTATCATTAGTAGATCCATCGGTACCACTAGATTTTTCCTTAGTATCATTATTACTTGATGAATCAGCTTGAGATGAAGAACCATTATGTGATTGATTTGATAATGAAGACATTAGAAATATTTAATATACAGAAATAAACGAGAGAAATTTTAGTTAAGAAAAAGTTTTTTATGATAGAGATAGAGTCAGTAATATATTTATTATTTAATGTCGATGCTATGAGATTGTTAAGCAATGATTAGAATGATAAAGAACGTTACTTTTATTTATCGTAAAGAGAGAGAGAGAATCAATAAAACGACGAAATACCGATAAGATAAGAAAAATATCATTTATCGATGGGTGTTCTTTTGTTTTTTTTATAGAAGAGATTACTCAGTACACTTTATTCATATTCGAATCATAGAAAAGGTGAATGCGTATGGTTTTTTTTTAATATAATTACTATTCAACATATATAACGAAAAAGAATAATCTATGTATAGAACAAATTCATGATTATATTCTATAAATATTAAGACTGTTTTTTTAATGAAGATTATTTATATATAATGAGAAGAATCTTTAAATAAATATTAAAACGGATTATGATTAAATAAAACGACGTAAAATACATCAAATAAGAAAATTAGTTTTCTACCATTTTTTTCTTTATATATGAGGTATGAGTGTGATTTAAATGGTGATATAGATGTTATGAATAGAGCCATAGGTATATGATGTATTATAGGATGAGACTTTATCTACCTATATAAACTTTGTTATAATAAAAAGAATTTTTTACTATGTAAAAATAGAGTAAGAATTTGGTCGATTTTTCATGCGTATAATAAATTTGTATTTCTTATTAATTTATACTTTCACTGACACTCATGTCTACATCATTATTATTACTGTGTCCAATTTCTGTCTATCACCTGTATAGCACTTGGTTCTGGGAATAATTGAGAGTTCATATTAAGAAATTCAAAATATTTTGCTGTTAAGTTTGCAGAAACAATCGAATGATAGTCAACATCAATAATAGGTGAATAATACTCGTGTTCGCCCTTAGATAAATCAGTACATCCAAAGCCATCTCTGTTTTCGAGAATGGCTCTTAAACGTGGTTTTGTTTCTGAATATTGACGAATGATACGCCATGGATTTGACGTATTTAATAATTGTGGATATTGTGGATTATGTGGAAACTTCATGTAAAAATAACCTTTGAGCAAATTCATGTGAAGAAATAGAATAGTTCCATTTGGATCATGTTGAATCATAGTATGTCCACAAAATCTAAGTGGAGTGTTTGATAGTCGATTGTCCTGTTCACCTTTTCTAATATATTCAAAGCCACCTATTGCTAGATATTTACGAACAAAGTAGAATGAAACATTAAGTGCTCGCCATGACAAACGAAATGTATCTTTGTCTCCATATAGTAGTGTTTGAAATAGTTTGTCTGTAGTCATGTATAGTGCCATATTCAATGGTTTCCAAGCGGATTTCTTATTTATCAGTATTTGACCTGATTCTTGTTCATAATCTTGTATCCGACATGGAATATTTAGAATTCGCCAAACTGGATTATCAATTGATGTAAACCAAAAATCTGGCCAAAATATAGCTGTTAAATATTTATATTGAGGTAAATCAAATAAATATGTTGGATCACGTACAGGAATGTTGTCTGAATCTAACCACAATACATGTTCGAACCTTGATTTCAAAATAGCTAGTGGTTTAATGGCATATTGTGAATGTCCTCTATCTGTCAAACTTTCTTTGTCATCGATTATGACTGATTTAACATCAGGAATTTCAGTTAACATTAATATTTGATGCGGAGTTAATTCACCACGAAATGAAAATATTTCAATAGGTAATTTACAACTCAACCAACGCAAAATTTTTAAGGAAGACACCAAACGTTTACAACTGTCATATCCATTGTGTGCAGAACTAACGATTCCTGATCCTGAATATTTGTGAGTCGGATATGAAGGAATTGATGCAACAAACGATTTCAATTTTAATTGAGCTTCAACAATACTCTTGTTACTTAGTAACCATTTTTCACGATGAGTTGCAAACGGACTATTACCTGCATCTGATGTGCATGGAATATAACCTAATTCTTCTTTACGGACGATCTTGTTTACTAGTTTACTTTGATGTGTAGCTAATAAAGAAAAGGATGAAAAGATCAATTTACCAAAGCCCACAATTATAATAATGAGAAAGATTGTTATCAGTAAGTAAATGTTTTTTGATAATATAATTTTCTTCAAAGCGTATTTATGAAATATTGCAAGGCAACGTCGAATAAATTGAAGATACGTCATTTTCTAGAACTGATTATCTGAAAAAAAGATAAAGTAAAATCTAAATAAACTTTTAAATATTCTATGAATATTTATCAAACAAATAAAATGAATTCTTCAATGATATATTGAACATGATTACACAAAAATAGACAAAGAAAGGAAAAAGTGTTTTGAAGAATGATACATCACTGTCGACTATTATCATAGAATTCTTAGCTGGACATTAAAAATCAGCTAAGCTTGAACTAGAAAAATCCAGTTAAATTCAACTTTTGATTGAAAAATATTATTATTTACTTCCGCTGAAAGATTCGAACTGTTTTTTTACAAGAAAAATATGCAATAAGATAAAACTAATATTTTCTTATTCCTGTATGTTTTTTTAAAGCAGACTGAGGATCGGAAAATAATAAGTCAGAAATTGAGAATCTAAGAAGAATGATCGATCAAGTTGATAGAGGGAGAACTGAAGAAAAATGATAGATGTGGGATAGGTATCAGATTTCTTTTTACACCTACATTCATGATCAATATCTCTTTGTCGTTGAGACTTATTCTTTTTACAGTAGAAATGGATGAAGTATTTCAGTCTATGAAGATATATACTAACGAGAAATTGCTGTTCTTGTAAATAGATCTACGAATGATTTTACTTTTCCTAAAAACCGATTCCTCTTTAAAAGAAAAACTATGTCTTCTTCAATTGAAATATTTATTCCAAAAAAAGCAGCATATGGTACATATAAATATAGTTTTTTTTCTTTTGTCCTATTTCTCCTTGAAAGAAAACGTATATTTTTGTGGATTTAAATATACGTATAAAAAAATAGCATATGACACATAAATATATATGTATTTTCCTTTCGTTTCACTTCTCCATAATATTTTTTACTTGATGCGGGGGTAATGCATTTCTCTATAAAGTGGAACGATATCCTTCTGTTTGAGGAATATAACTCAGTTCTCATAATCATTTAATTAGGATAATTTTTGTGGTGTTATTGTATTGTTGTATTCGATAATCTATTTAGTAAATAATGCATTTGTTGGTGAACTATATGTGTTTTTCTTTCTTTTTTTAACATATTCTTCATCAATCATAAAATTTTACTGACAAAATTGAAACATAAAAAATAAATTGATTTTTGTTCTTTTCTTCTTTATATTATCAAACCTAGAGAACCTCCAGAACAACTATTGATCAAATTAAAAAATTGAAAGAAAAAAAAAATAATTTTTTTTGTACTTATCTTTAAATTTTTTTTAATATTGCATAAATATTTTAAATTCTAAAATGAATGAAAACAAAATCCTCTTCATATTGTTCTGTGTATACCATGGTTATCGATTTTATGACACTTTTTTCTACTAGCGCAAAAGTAACGTAAAGATATTTATATTTTTTTTGTTATAATAAGGATTTTAAAGTATCAAAATCAGAGAATTTCATTCGCTTTGTTTCTTCAATAACCGTTTACATCACTCACAACGAGAACAGAAGGAGAAATAATCCTTCAAAAGAAATGAACGAAAGGAATGAAGACATTCGCGAAGCAACTGGAAAGAGAACATTCTCAAGTGCTGACATTCTTGAGGGTGTGGGTGTAGATTATTGTTATTGTAGTACCCGTTCACACCCTCATCAATCTTTTTTTTTAAATAAAATACCTGTATAGTTAAATGTATGTATTTTTATCTTCTATTTCATTCAATTTATATTGACCATTCTGTCTCTCGTTCATAATAATATAGAGATTATTATATGTGAAATTTTTTAGTATATATCAATTATGGAATTATATTTGACTGTTAACATATATAGTAATTATAAATAGAAGCAACTATACTCCAAAATATTAGTTTTTAACATTGATGAATCATTTTATTCTTAGTAGAATTGACGAGATGAATCAGAACAAATGATAAGATAAATATAAGATATTAAAAAGCATTAGATCTATGAGTAAAAATCAATGAAAATTATATTTTGAAATAATTTTTACAAGAATTTATTTTTAATTATGGTTTAAAAGTTTAACTGGAAAATATTCAAATGAAGCGGATAAGAGAAATGTGGGGGAAAAAAAAGAAAAATTGTAGTTATGACAAAAAAATAGTGATTTATTAGTCATAAAATGAGTAAATATGATGAAATAATGACATAAAACTTGCAAGATTATGAATAGTCAGCATATTCATGTGTGATACGTTAGAAAAAAAGAAAGTTTACTTAGGAACAACTTTCGCTGGTCCAAATGCGGGCTTAGCATATGTTGGACCGGGCTGCATTTGATAGGACAAATTTGAATCGGCATCAGCACCTGGTCGATTCGTATTCGGTGCAACTTTTCCCTCATTACGCTTTTTCTTTACTGGTTTGGGTGGTAAAATAACGAAGAGAACTATTCCAAATATTCCCAATACGACACCTAAAGCAAGAATGGCATACGTTAGAGGAGCGAACGACGTCTTCGTAACCAGTAAACCAATAATGGCACCACCGCAACTTACAATGAATATAATAGATAATACGACTGTTTTCTTACATTTTCCGAGATAAATAACAACAGCCAACATTGTTGTAAAGAAGCCAATAAGAGCAATGGCTATACCTAATTGATCAAGAACACTTTTGGTTGTTTGTTCAGCGATGATCCATCCGAAACACCATGCAGTGGGATTGGTTATATTTTCACCAAATTCGGCTTTTATTAACGGTTCACAGTAGAAACTTACATTATTTTTTATCGGAACGATACCACTCGCCCCGAAAATGAAACAATCTCTTTTATATTCAGGACAATCATCACCTGGTAAAATTCTGTCACTTGCTAAGAAAGCACCTTGAAAGATAAGAACGGCCGTAATAGAAAGTGTCATTCCTCCAAGTAAACAGCAAAATATTCCAATATAAAAGATAGATTTTTCCTTCATTTGAGCATAGCTCTGCTGTAAGGTAGGATCATTATCAGTATTATTTTGTCCATCATCATTACCATGGTCATGACCATGACCATGCGCTTTACTCGGATTAACACCAATGACTCGTTCAACGATAAATTCTTGACCTGCTTTTGAATTAAAGAAGGTAACAAATACACCAATGATGCAAACGAGTACAAGACCTATCGAAATACCATAATCGGCTATAGTATAAGTAAGATATGTCCATTCCATTTTATTTGTTCAATATTGTCGTTCTATAATGAAGTATGCCTTCCTAACAAGAAAATTAAGTGAAATGAAGTTACAACAACAACAATAAGAATAATTTTCTTCTATTGTTGAGTAGTCAACGTTACATCTGTCGCTAAAATAAAACTCATAAGTTTTTTCCAGAAAATATTTTCTCTCAAATAAAATATTTAAATATTGGAAGGAGAACATAACAACTAATGAAATTGTAAAACACTAAACCTTAATAAAATTATTTTCCTTTATATTTTTTTCACTTTAAACTATTACAGTTTGTTGTTTCTTTAATAATAAATATATATCTAGCAAGAAAGTATGGACTTTCCTTCTTTATATACGACACATAAATAAGAAAATAGAAATGAAACAATAAAAAAGTACATTAGAAAAAAAAAGATCTATTTCTTCTTAGAAGAATATATACTTCGTCTAAATCAAAATAAAACATAATATGTATTTATGTACATTATATGAAAAAATCATTACATCCTTCTCCTTTTCAACCCTAAATGTTAATAATGTTCAAAAATATTTTATATCAAATAAAAATAAGATGAAAACAAAGTTGATTGATACTAATTAGTAAAGACAACTAAAACATTTTTGGCTTAGAAAATGACGGTACTAATAATTCTAAAACCAAATATACATATTGAAAAGGACTAATTGAAATAACTTAAAACCTAATTAAAAAAATATTTCTTTTTCTCTATAAGAAAGAAAAACAATATGATTTTTAAATAAAGTAGCTTTTTTCATTAATTTTATTACTGTAAACGTATTGACATAGTCTCATTAAATGTACTTTTTTACATTACATCGAGCAAGTTAGATACGGTTGAATTCAGAAAAATAATGAAAAAAGTAAATTTGATTTCAAAATCATGTATTGTCCTTTCTTATGGAAAAAAAACAAGTTATTTAAACGACTTTTTAAATGATTTCAGCTCATTTATCTCTAATAAAAAGCTTAGAAATTCTTGAATACATATAGATTTTTATAAAACTTGATGAATTCTATCGAACTATGGAAAAGTATTCAAGAATAAATATTTAACTTAGTGTCAGTATAACTCATACCTTAATTTTCTATACCAAAAATATATAACATTTATAAGAAAATGTCTTCACTTCATTACTGAAAATTTTTCATAGTCTTTTCTATCTGAGCAATATCACATATTTTTCAAAAGATCTATATAATATCATTTGATTCTAACTTGAAAATAGGATAGTTCAACAATATTTATAGATAATAGTCGCAAGATCTAAAAGAATAAAAAAAGAAATGAAAAGTGAAAAAATACTAAATATATGACGCAATAACAAATGAATATTTTATTTGTTTGTTGATGTCGTCCTGTGTCAAACAGATGTAGCATATCATACTGAGAGAAGAAGAAAAAAATATATGAAACTTCAGTTAATAATGTGGAAAAAGCAAGCTGTTCAAAATGAAAGAAAATGAGTAGCACTTAATAAAATTTAGAAAATAGAAGAAAAAATATGAACACAAATAAAAAAAACTTCATTCATTTCTACTGTATCAGATATGGAACTAAACCAGTTGATTTGCAGATTGTCACAATTTTTTTAAATTTTTTATGGAATTAAAACTTGTCTATTTTGCTTGTTTCCAACTGATGAATTTTGAATTATAATCAAAATCCTAGTTCGAAATATTGACTAATATTTGATCATTTCGGGACGAAAGCCTTGAAGAATGTTCAATGAATATTCTATGATCACAACAAATTAGCCTTAGATTTGAAAAATTGGTTAAATCAAAAAAAAAATATGTCAAATAATTATTAAAAGTGTTTAACTGTTCTTATTAATCAATCTATACACAATTTCTGTTATTTTATTAAATTTCCTTTTCGAAAAATAAAATTAAAGAAACTCAAAGACTTGGATATTCTAAACTGTTCTTTGAATAAAATATTATAAGAAATATTTGTGCGAAGAAACAAATCTCTCTCTCTATATATATAGCGATATTTACTGTAATTTAATAGAAAAAACTAATCTTTTGTTTTTCTTTCGAATGTTTAAATAGATAAATCATTGTAAATATCTCATAGATTTAAAAATGATCAGATTCAGATAAAAAATCTTTCAATAAAATTATTTAATTAGTGAAGAAAATATTAATAATCAACAAAAATGAATTCGATATATAACTACAGAACAAATTTTACTTTATATAGAATTTGAAAAATATTTAAATATATAACTAAATAATAGAAATCATCAACATGTTAATTATATTATACTTTTTCCTTTTCATCTATTTTATTAGATTTTTTTAGATAAAAAAAAACTTGTATTTTTACTTGAAATAACATCAATAACGGAATCACAATATAGTCATATATTGGATCAATTTATAACAAATTTTAATAAACATATAAAATAGTTTAAAGATTTTCACTTTTTTTGTTATTTTTAGTAAAGAAGAAAATTTTTTATCAAAATTAGAAAATACGACAACATCTGATTTAATTCAACCGTTCTTTATTGCATGAAACCATGTTAAGGATGTGAGATAAAGATGAATCTACACCAATACTGTACGCATCCTCAAAAGAAAATCAAGGAAAGAATAATTTCAGTGATTATTAACGACAATCACCATGAGTATAAAGACTTTTCGTTACTTGAAGTCTTCTGGTATTAGAATTTGCATGTTTTTCACTATATTCATAAAGCATTGATGCGATGGTTTTATCTTGATTTAAAGATCGTACAATCCCACTTAGATCATATCCATGAGAATCTTCAATAAGTTTTTTTAATATTTGTTCAAGTTCAACGTGAATTTCAGTTGATCGAAAATGAGATTAATCATAAGCTCAATATGACTAAGAAAAGCATTTTCTATTACTTCTACTGAAAATTAATAGAGCTATAGATTGAGGAAAACGTTTCTTTATCCAATGATATACTTTTTCCAATAACAAACTATTTTTTTCATTTCTTGTATCTGATAGCAATACTACTTGAACGGAGACAATTAGATAAGTACTTATGTTTTACAAAAATCTTTTCTTTCAGACATACTGCTAATAAAAGCTGAATACTTGAAAATTAGGATTGAATAAAAGAGTTTAACATTACTGTTTAAGAATATTTTTCTTCTCAAACCAAAGTATAAAATCTAGATTCCGTCAAAGATGTCGCTTTTAATTTGATTGTGATCTCTCGTAGCCTCTGTAGCTCAGTGGTAGAGCGCCAGTCTTGTAAACTGGAGGTCCGTAGTTCGATCCTGCGTGGAGGCATCTCCTTTTTATCCTAGTTTTATTCCTTGCTATCTTTTTCTAGTACTATTATTATATATTCCCATATGTATATTTACAATAAATGACGTCATGTAATCGTCGTATGACGTTTGGAGGCCCGACAAGACTCAGAGTGTGGGTGTGGGCATAGTTGGTTGTGGAAGAGGATCTAATTACCACATCTTCATCACACCCACGATCACCCCTCTAGTAGAAAATAATTGTTCAAATATAATACACCTTCAAATTTAATAGAGTTGATCATTCTTTATAATTTCTCGACTAAAAAGCTTTATTTATTATTAAAATAAAGATACTTCTGGGTTATTTTATTATTTGTATGAAAAACAATGAGACTTTATAAAAATTTCTATTTCGTAATGTACAAACTTTATTTGACATGAGTATGTTGTGGTGTTTTTAATCTATATTTATTTATCTATGATTTTATTTTTAATAGTTCATAATATATTCTTTCGATATACTTGTTCTCTTTATTTTAATTATTGATATTGATGGATGCTTGGTAGGTATACATATATACGTCTTAATCTTACTCTTATCTATATGTATATGACTAGTAGAGCTTCGCTTACAAGTATGACGTCGTATTGTATAGAATTTTAAATATCTTAAAGCTATTTATTTAAAATGACTCAATATATAGATTAAAAAATATTGACTTGTCTTATCTAAAAGCTCTGTATAGTATACAAATATTTATTGAATGATGAATCATATTTAGTAAACTAATTAATATTCTTAATTTTTAATATAATTTTGAAATTATTTGCAACGAACAAATCTCATATTACTGTACATAGATATGATTTATACTCTAGTAAATATTAATAAAAAAGTATCAGATGAAAGAATGACATACATTAAATATTCGATATATAAAAACATAATATCAAAATAAAAAGGTCAAAATTTAAAAAATAAGCGAATGCCTAAAGCAAGATTTTTTTATTTAAAAACAAGAAGATTATTAAAGGAAAAAAGTGGAAAAAGAAAATGTTCAAATATTGAATGGGCACAAATTTTAATTGGTTTATTTGTTTCAATAGCAATAACAGTTTATACAATAATTGAAACTAATAATGAAAATTCAATTGCAGAAGAAAATCGTCGTCAAGATGCTGATTTAGCAAATCAAACACGTTTAAATGATATTTCAATTGCTGATAATAGAGAAAAAGAATTAATTATGAATAATTATTTAAAATTTTTAACTGAATTATTTGAAAAAGATGTTCTCAATCTCCCTCCACTTGATCCAATACGATTTATTCTTCAATTTAATACATTTGCTGTTTTATCTCAATTAGATTCGAAAAGAAAATCTTATTTAATTCGTTGTTTTTATGAAAATCATTTAATAACATATCGTCAAAATGACGCACCTCAATTGATTGATTTAACTTCTGCTAATTTAATTGAATTAAATTTAAATGCACGTCCATTAATTCAAATAAGTCAATCAGCATTTCAATGTGTTTCAATTGCTAATACAGATTTAACAGATTCATCTTTTAAAAATTTAGATTTATCTGGTACACAATTTCAACATAGTATTATGACTCAAGCTATTCTATCATCAACTGTAGCTTCTGTCACAAGTTGTGATGATAAAAATCAAGTTACATCGTTTGGTGGTGCATATCTTTCTAAAGCCAATTTTGAAAAGAGTATTTATATTTGTGTGGATTTTCATCGTGTAACAATGAATAATTCGAATTTAAAACAATTTCAATGTACTGGCTGTAATTTTGCTCATGCTTCTCTATATGAATCTGATATGAGTTTTTCCAGATTTATTTTAGAACCATCTTTACCATTTATATGTAAAGATAGTAGACAAACTCACTTTAGAAATAGTGATTTAAGTAAATCTAATCTTTTTCAAGCTAAATTTGAAAATACATCATTTATTCAATCAAAATTAATTGAAATAAATGCAAATCAAGCTCGATTCTTTCAATGTGATTTATCTAATGTTATTATGAATAATTGTATTCTTACACAATCTCAATTTAATGGTTCAAAATTAATTTCAGCTAATTTAAATAATTGTAAAATTAATAAAGTTTATATGATTAATGTTGATTTTTCTTTTTCAACTTTAATTAATGTTGATTTTAGTGATAGTATATGTTATTCATGTATATTTAATAATACAAATTTAACTGGAATTAATTTTCAAAATTCAATATTAGATAAAAGTTATTTTACAAATTCAATTTTTAATCAACAACAATTAATTAAAGCAAAATCAATTCTAGGAATTCATTTATAAACATCAATTAGATGAAAATTTTAATGTTAAGAAAAATTGTTTTTATTCTCTCACACTCACACTTTCTTCATTCTTATACATGTGAAAAAGAACGAAGATAATTGCAGTTTTAATTCGAAAATAAATTCATCTACAATTCAATAGCGTTTTGTTTTTTTATAAAATCTTCTAATGATTTCTATATACATATTATACACTTGGAACAATTCTTTTCCTTGCTTAAACAAACGAAAGAGTAATAAATAATAAGTAGAGACGAGAGATGGCATATACAGACATTGATATATATATATATATCAGAATGAGTTAATGGTAGAGTATAATCCAATCGATTCTATTTTCGTTCTATCGATTATTAGCGAGAAAGAAAGAAAAGGATAAAAGAGGTGTGTGATATCATTTTGAATAATAATTTGTTTTTGTTGGGAAATATATTTTTGAATAAAATAATGGCATCATGTCCAAAAGAATTAGAACGAAATGGACCAACAAAAGGTATGAGATTTACACGTGAACAAGCTGAAAAACTTTTTGAAAATTATTTAAATAAAAAATTAAGTTGGTTTGAAATTGGTGAAGGTGGTTTAAATAATTTAATTTTTTTTATTCAATGTCAAAATGATGATGAACAATATGTTTTAAAAATTTGTGGAAGTGCATGGACAAAAATTAAAACAGAATCCGAAGTATCTGCTATTCTTATTGTTCATAAATATACAAAAATTCCTCTTCCGAAAATCATTGCTTATTCATCAGATAAAACAAATGAATTTGGTGTTGAATGGATTGTTATGACACGTTTAAAAGGTAGATCATTACGAAGTTCATCTAAAACACATGATATTTGGCCGGAATTAACAATTGATGAACAAAAATTAGTTGTTGATCAACTTGTTGAATATGCATCTCAATTACAAAATTCTATTCCAAGATCAAATCTTATTGGAAATTATAAATTAAATGGTGAAGTTGGAACAAATAGTGAAGGAATGGGTCCATGGAATAATTATAAAGATTATTATAATGATCGTTTAAAACAACAAATAAAAATATTAAATGAAGATCCATTATTTACTTCAGTTCGTGATGATATTATGAAATCAATAAAAGAATTTCAAACATTTAATCTTCCTGATTTTTCTGATGTTCCAAATGTATTTACACATAATGATCTTGGTGTACAAAATATAATTGAATCAAAAGATCTTAATATTAATGGGATTATTGATTGGGAATTAGCTGGTTCTTATCCAGTATGTGAAGAATATTTTCGTTCTTATAAACCAATTATTTATAATGAACAATTAACAATTTATCTTTATGATCAACTTGAAAAAAAGAATGTTTTAACACCAAGAACAATAAAACATTATTCACTTTTAAAAAAAATGTCTGATTTACTTCAATCTGTTGTTCCTTGGTATTTAACTTGTTTAGCTAATCCAGAACATCCCACTGTTGAAAAAGAATTAAATCAAGCGAGAGACAAAGTTATTTTACTTGTTCAACAAATTAAACAAGAATTACAATAAAACATCTTTTTTTCTACTTTTACAAAAACATACAAACTATTTGAATTCACCTTTAATACGTATAGATCTATTTATCCCTCGTGTATTTAATAATCTATTAAATAAATTTCATTTTCTTCAAGAAAGAATCTGTCGAATATTTGAATTTATTATCTTTTTCTATTTTTTGTGCATATTGTCATATTTTATATTTTATGAGTAAGAAGGCAATGAGTATAAAGAAGAAACTATTCAAGATGAAGTAATATTAGTCGATTGCTTTTTTCTTATTGACTGTATTACATATAAACCAATAGTATAATCTCCTGAAAAATAATGACACTTTATTATTTGTTTGCTAACAGATTTTTATACTAAGAAAAACATATTGAAGGATAAATGATGGATTGTTAATAATACATGGATATTTTTATTTTAATATAAAAAATCTTTTTTTTTTTTTACATTCAGATAAATATTCAATTGAATTAATAAATAGATTAAAATCTCGAATTATTCTGATAACTTATCAATTGAATTCTACAAATATTTATCATTGATTATTGAAGATAAGAAGAATTAAGATAAAAATATTTTCTTCAAAGTATTTTAAATGAAGGCAATCAAATGTAGATTTTTCATATCTCATCTTATAGAGTTTTATTAACATAATATAAGAAAAATGAATGAAGTTTTACTGTGAATATATTTTAAAAGTATTTGATATTTGGTTTAATTATTCTTAATAACGACTAGAAATGTTTTTATTATCTTATTTGACTCTGTTCACAACAGTTTTACATCTACTTGCAATTAGTTTTTCGGATTGATATTTTGAGTATTAAATATTCCGGATTGTGATAATCTTTAATTTGTATTTACACATATTGATTTATAAATGTAAGATATTATTGAGTGGGAGGAAATAGACAAGATCTTATTAAATATGCGAAGAATATATTCGTTGTAATAAACTAATTATCTTTATGATTAACTTGAATAGTAAAATATTTTTCACTTTAAAAAAAATTATTCGATTTTGTTGAATCGAGATATAGAATTGAATATGTAAATCTGTTGTTTATAATCGAAAAATATTTCATAGATTTTTTTGTTTAGAATGGAAACGGATTTCGTTAGGCATGAAAATTCTTTTTCTTGCTTCATTAATTAAAGAATTGTTGAATAAATGTCGAAGAGGTCAATCAGTGTGGAATGAAGCACGTGAGATGAAACAAGACATTTGTGCTGGATTTTTTTTGTCCGTTCTCTCTATAGTATATAAGATATAGAACAGCTGTATGATCTTTTTATAGATATCGATATATTTCTTAGAATATTTATATGAAGTAAACAAATATATGATGAGAAAATAAAAAAATATCTTTATTTTTAATAGAATTATCGAATTATTCTTATAAAAATTTAAAAAAATATTTATTAAATTTTCTAATAATATTAAACACAAAGTATAATTCATATTTTTAATAGATTTTCTTTTCAAGAGAAAAGTATCTGATTTAATGTTAGATTTAAGTATATATTCTGTAAATAAATTCTATTGAACACTCATGAAAAAAGATAATAATAGAGGCAACAGTCAATGATCTTGTCTTATTTATTTTCAGATAATTGTTTTTCTCAATTATCAGACAAGATTCCTTTCGCCAGGAAAGAAGAAAAAATAAGAATTTTCTCCTGTAAGATATTTTTCGAGTTGTCAGACAAGATAAGGTTCTATCTATAAGTATATCAGTAAAAAGGTCAGATTTGTTTTTTAGACAAGAATCTGAAAAGACGAGAGACACAGTTGTAGACTAGTGAAAGAATGATTTTTAGTAAAAAATATGAATAAAAAAAAATAAATGGTGATAATAAATAAAAGAATATTTTTCTTGTTTTTCCAAAACATATAATAATTAAAAGAGTTTTGTTGACAACAAACTAAATTAATTAAAAATAAATTAAATCTGGTCATATGTCAATCAAGGGTAATATTCAGAAAATCTTCATTTTGAACTAAGATTGACTTTCGAAAAAGATTAAATATATTTATTATAATTTCTTTCTCAAAATAGAATTTCATTTTCTAATATTATTATTAAGATCAGATTAAAATATTTCTAATAACAATGAAAAGTAATTCTATTAGAGAATATTAATTAAATCTAGTATAGGAACATGTTCTTATTTAAATCTTCTTCATTAAGGGCATTTTCTCTTGTTTTTGTTTTTATCAAAAAAATGTCCGTAAAATAGAATTAAAGAACAGTATGACACAAGTGATTCAATAATTAAAAAAAGTAATGTAGGATAATATATACCATGCTTTGAACGTTTTCATAATGAAAGTGTCTCTTATGAATAATGAGAATTTTTTTTCATGATTATCAACTAGTATATTCATAATGTTGAAGACTAATTATTTGAAATAAATGAATAAATAGAATTGAAAATTCTTAAAACTTTCGAAAAATTCGAATTAAATGCAAACAGATCACATTATGATCGATATCTTTCAAAATTGTTTCAACAAATTCGATGTAACTTTAATGAGATTTTTGTTTAATTGATATATTTTATTTTTCAATTTCAAGTACTTTATGAGAATAAATGAATGTGTTATTAAAATAGATGATTATATTCCGTTTAATTTTCCCGTGTATAATATTAGTCTGATGAAGAAGAAGAAGAAGAAGAAGAAGAAGAAGAACTCGTGATGTAATAGAAAAAAAAGATGAGGACGTCATGGAAAGTTCGTGATCATATGATGTATGAGACATAAGATAATACGATTAAATATTGATAAATTTAGTTGATATAAATAAGATTGTTGTTAGTTTGTAAATATGTAAATTTGATTTGATATTTTGAAGAGAAGAAGAAGAATGAGTGAAGAATTGTTTCATAATGTAAATCTTGGTTGGAATCAAATAACATTATCACGAAATGAATTATTTTTAATAATTGTTCTTATTGGAATATTTCTTCATAGTTTATTATGGTTTCAATTATTAATTTATAAAATAAGAATAGATCTTACATTTTTCTTTAGTTTAACTTATTTATTAACTGATTTTATGATAATGTTAGCATTTATAATTCAATATATTATTCGTACAAATTTCCAAAGATCAACACATGGTTTTGTATGTTATTTTGAAGCATATTTTATTGTTTATATTGATATTATTGAAACAATATGTTTAACTTTTATTAGTATTTGTCGATATTATGAAATTGTATTGAATAAAAATATTTATATAAATTATCGAAAATTAATTTTATTTATTTCAATAATTCTTGCAATTTTAATAATAATTAATATGTTTATTCAAAATTATTTTAGTTGGTCAATTGTTCTTGATGAAATCGGTTCAAGTTGTTCAATTAATAATAAAAATATTTATGTTATCATTTTCAATGAAATAATTTTCTTTTTTATTCCAATAATTCTTTGTTTTTATTTAAATATTCAATGTTTAATTTATTTAAAAAAAAGAAATTGTTCAAAAATGAATAATAACAATTATAAATTAATCAATCGTTTTCTCATATTTTATATAATTTGGTTAATTCTTTGGGGACCATTTGTATTTATTGAACAATTTTATACAAAATTCATAACAAATCAAATTGAATTTATTGTTATTTTATTAACTACATTAGACAACACTATTGATGCAATTCTTGTTTCACATTTAGATCAACGTTTTAAAATTGTTTGGAAAAAAACTTATTCTTTAATTAAAACGAAATTAAAATTCAAAAGAACATTAAAAATACATTCAATTATTTAATTTCACTTTTTCAATTCAAAAAACATTATCATCATTATATATAATCGAACTCTTTCTATCTTTCTATTAAATTATAAGATTCTCTATCACCATGAATTATTTGTGAACTAATTAAAGAGATAATAAAATTATTTGAAAATTAAAAGACTTCGTTGTTTCATTATTAATTCTAATAATAACAGAACTCTCTCTCTCTCATATACATAAAGAAGTCGAATATTTGAATTCATCAAGAAAGTGTAGAGAGTGATCCTAGATAAAAATTCTTTTGTCGTTTCTATTTAATTCTCGAGTTTGTTTCTCTAATCGAAATTGAATAGAATTATTCCGTACATTTTTCAAATAATTTTTATTCCTAATTGTCAAACAATAATTAAAATATAAATTTCTGTAGGAATGATAGAATATATTTTAATAGTGAAATTGAAAAATATGTTAATTGAAAGTGAGAAAACGACTTGATATTATTTTTAATATAAATATACGTTTATTATAAATAATATTAACTATTAAAACTAAACTATAAAATCAAACTAAAATATAATTATTAAATAAATTGTTAAAGTTTGTTATATGATGGTTGAGTATTTGGAACTGATTGTTTTTGATTAGCTATTTGTTGAATTAACCATATTAAATCATATTGAATTTGTTCATTCACTATTGAATCATGTTTATATAATGGATGATTTTTAACATATTCTCTTATCCACATTGCATTTGTTAATATTGTTCCTAAAATAAAACGAGATAGAGAGAGAGAGAAATATATTTAATGTTACCATTAGCACGTTGAGAAATAAATTGAAGATAATTATCCATCGTTTGTCTTGTTGATGTATCAATATCTTCAAATGAATTTAAATAATTAACAACTAAAGATTTTAAACCAATAAAATTAGTCTAAAATAAAAAAAAAACATTTTTTGTTTAATAGAAAACAAATTCTCTTACTGAACCATTTATGATTTCATCCATTGACATTTCACGAGTTTCATGTTTTTTACAATTTCTATCTATGAAAATAAAAAAATAGAAAATATTTGTGAAAAATTGAGTTTAATAAAATGAATTAACCATGAAATATTTGAGTTGGAAAATGAAATTTATTCGTTTGAATATTATTTTTCATTTGAGCTCGTTCCATATTTTCATTAACAAGAGAAATAGGCATTCGAAGATCAATATTATAAGATAGAATTGCTCGTGTTAATAAAGTCAAAAATACAGATAATGCTGCATTTTCAAAATCAGTTATTTGTAACTAAATATTTATTTGATTTTTAGATTATTTTTTTTTAAAGTAAAAAAAGAAAAATAAAGACCTCCATTGGACGAAATTCAATACGCCAACCTAATGATGCTGAATCTTCTGATACAGGTGGTTTAAATCGAAGAGAATTCCAGACCATTGAATTTTGATTCTATTTTATTAACAAAATTATTTAACAAATAAATAAATAAATAAATAAAAAGAAAATATTAAACCTCAAAAGCAAATCTATTTGATGGATTGTCTTTTGGATGAACTTGTTCATCAGTAACATAAAGTGGATCACGTAAAAATAAATGTGCAAAATGTTTTGCAACTGTTGATGGACAATCTAAATAAATAAATAAATATTAGAAAATAAAAAAAAATTAAAGAAAAAAAAAACAACTGAACTATTTTGAATTAATATTTGATAAACTTCTTGATCAATATTTAAATTCGTATCATTATAAATATCACTTGAATCAGATAAATAACAAGGAACAGATGAATAACGTGATGAATTTAATAACTTCTTTTCAATTTCTTCTTTTGTTCGATCATCAGTTGTCGAACTAAGAATATTCCATCGACTATCAACATTACTTAAATATCCACGCCATATTGGACATGATGTACTTAATGATAACTTAAATTCAAATTAGAAAATTTCTTTGAAATATTAAATAACGAAAACATACAAATATTGATGTAAGTGGTATTAATTGATCATAAAGATAAAGACTTTCATCAAATGATTGAGCTTGAAGTGTAACTTGTAAACAACAACATCCCCAACCAATTGATGATGAATCTAAATGAATATAATTATCTTGAAGATTATTATTTACATAATCTTTCCAATTCGAAACACCATATGAAGAAAAATCATCACGAAATGGATTTGATGTATTCGTATCTTTTAAAACTAAATTTATTTTCATTATTAAATATAGATTAAATACAAAAGATTTACTTGGGACATTAACAGATACTTTCGATTGACGACGTTCAACTACATTTTGATTTAAAAACCTTTTTACAAGAAAAAAACAATGAAAATTTTTAAAATAATTTAATTAAAACAAACATTGTTCTTGGATAATTTGGTGTTTTATAATGATCTGAACAACAGATTGAATGTTCAAAACTATGTTCTGGATCACTTTCATATTCAGGATAAGTACATCGATTACATCCTAATCTATTTCAGAAATATTCAAAATAAAAATATTCGATTTTATTTAAATTTAAATTTAACCTTGGAAATGCAGATATTGTTAAGATATATTCATTTTTATCAAGGAATTTTTCAACTTGTTCACGTCTAAAATAAGAATTGATTTTTTCATAATTTCTATTGATATATGAATTTCTTTTTTCAAATTAGATTTGACGTCAAAAATAAAAGATTATTAAATTACTTTTCGTTAATAATCTTTAATAGAATTAAGAATATTTATATTGGGGAATGGATTCTATTGGAATAGACGAGAATAAGACATGATGGATGTTATTATGAAGAACGAAAGAAAAGATAAATATGTTATACCATCGAATAGAATGAAAGAAAGAAGAGATTTACTTGGATAATATCAACGAGTCAATGTTAAAGATAAATCAAAAATATTCTAAGAACATATTTCTAAGTCACAAGAAAATAATAGAAAAATTAATTTTAATCTTTTTAATATAAAAAATATAATAAGAATTTCTAACCTTAATTTCATATTTGATTCAACTCTATTATAATGAAAGAAAAAAGAACCATAAGGTATTGATGGAATTCCTTCGATTACAAAATTACAATCTTCAGCATGAAACATTATTGAAGATAATCTAAATAAAATCATTATTTTAGCTTTATTTTTAATAAGAATTTACTCATTTGAATCTAATTGATTAAATTTGGATAAAATTTCATCAGCTTTAAGTAATAATTGGACACGTTTTGTTTTATGATCAAAACGAAGTAATGAATATTCAATCTTTAAATTAAATTATTTGATTTGATTTTTGTTGAAATAAAATGAAATCAAGAGAAAACTTACTTCATCACCCCAAAGAAAAGCATCATTTGTTCTATGACGATGTTTATTTAATATTGTAATTAAATCATTAAGTGCATGATTTTTTAATATTGATCGATATGGTACAATTTCATTCCAAGTTAATGGACGACCAGTTGATAATACACCCATACAAACTTTTATTTATCTTAAAAACAAAAGATCTTTATTTATTTCATATTGGAAAAGACAAAAACAATCAGTCAACAAACAACAAACAACAAACAAGAAACAGAATAAATCAATAGAAAATACCAAGAAGGAAAAACATCAATCTACATGATATTCATCACTTCCAAGGAAAACCTACTACCAATCATTATATACGAGAAGACATACAGATGGATAAATACCAAAAGGAAAAAAACAGAAAAACATAGAGAAAAAAAATAGAAGAGAGAGAGAGAGACAGAGAGAAAATATATCATCGACAAAAATAATAAAGAAGAGAATTATCCATTAGGATAATACAAAGACTAAATATTACTAATAACTTTTTACTATTCTTTACTATTTAAGAGTCAATAATTATTTTCAATTTTTTTATTTTATAAGATTATATATTTCAATATATACTCAAATCTTCTATACCGAATATCTTTCTTATACACACACACACACACACACAACAAATAAGTACATTTTACTACTAATTTGATAATATTCCATGATAAGCTCATCTAATAAGAAAATAAATGTTTATCATAAGATAAATTAATTATTAAATGTAACACTTCATTTATTAATGAAATTCAATCAAGATTAATCAATAGAATATTTATATTAATTGAAAAGGGAAAAGCTTTAACTATTCTTTTCTTTTGAAATCTTTTAGATAGAATATTGTGAACTATTCTTCGATTCTCTCTAATGAACATTTTTATTTCAATACAATGTCATTGATTTTTATTCTATTTTATTAAATAATATTTTTCTCATTGATAACATATCCTATTCTATATTATACAATTATATCAAAGGATAAAGAAAAATGTCTTCATAATTGAATTAATTAATATTAAAATATATAATAAGAATATAATTTTGAGAGAATTTTTTATTATTATTTATCAAATATAATAGGATAGCTCATAATGAATGTTCTTCAGGCTATTTTTCATATTTTTCAGTCTAAAAAACGAAGATATTTTTATTATCTTGAATAGCTTTAATTATATAATCATATATGCAACGATGCAATTGATTTCTCTAAAAACTTGTTAATAGGATTAGAATATTGTGAAAATATATATGAGATAGGAAGTTTTGTAGAGGAAAGTTTGCTCTACAAAATCCTTTAAGTGGTTTGTCAAATGTACTTTAAAAATAGAAGATATTATTTGTTAATATAAATATTGTTGACAATGCTCTATCGAGATTTATTCAGAATATTAAAATATATTTGAGAGTTCGATTACACTGCTGCAGACCAAACTTCCTTCTCATATATTTTCACAATATAGTCGTCATAAGATATGCTAATTCTACTAAAATTTTCTTGGAGAAATCGATTGGATCGTTGCATATGATTATATAATCAAAGCTATTTAGGATAATAAAAATATCTACGTTTTGTAGACAATTTCAAAAATAATCTTCCTATTAAAAGAAAATTTTGTCTACGCTGAAAAATATGCAAAATACTCATCGATTCACTTATTTTGAGTGTCCTCTGATAGAACTTAAATCAATAAATGAAATATTTGTGTATTATTGATTTTTTTTCCGCGATTTTTCTTTTCGTCCCATTTCATCAAAATAATATATTCGACGCGTCGATGAGATCTAAAAACACCTGGTATTTATACAGCTTATTATATTAAACTATAATACCTATATGATAAAGTAGATTTTTCCGAGAAAAAGCCGTCATATTTTGAGTCCAAAGTATAATAAATAATAGAATATGAATATCAGATGGCATTTAATCTCATCGATTTGTGGAATATAGTATATTGATGAAATACTATGATAAGAAAAGCCAGACGAAAACATTTTTAATAATAGTCAAATATTTCATTTATTATTTTAAGTCTTATAACAGGTGTTAACGTTCTTTCTGTCTCCGTCTGTCTGTCTCTCTGTGTATATATATCAATGTGTGAGTGTACTCAATTTCATTTTCATTCATAAAACTAAATCTTATACAGAAACTGCTCAATAATGTTTATCATTATATTTTGTATGATTAATTTGTCAATGGTTATTAGTAAGAATGTTATTTACAATCCTGGTAAGATTTGTTTTTATTTTACTATATCTAATTTTATTTTCATTTTCAATTTCTTTACATTAAAACTAAAAACAAAATTGTTAAATATCCGTTTTTATTTTCGATTATTTATACGAAATTTAATGTTAAAAACGATACAATTTACGAATGAATTCAATAAAATATTTCTTTTTGTTTTTTTTCTGTTGAAAAAAAAGATAAAATTGTCGAATTAATAGAATTATAAAAAATCGTATAAAAATAATTTTGATATGTTCTTTTTCAGCAGTATTTCCCATTGAACGTGAAATAGTGGTTGAAGAAAACGAAAGAAGTACACTTGATTGTACAAAATTTCCACGGGATATTGACATAATAAGATCACTTCCATTTCCTGTCCAACTAAGTCCGACAAGCACAGTGGCAAAAACTTTTGCGTTAATGAATAATAATAATGATGTTACTGAATTAACTATTTATAAAGAAAATTTGTTTCATTAAATATTTATTGTTTGAAAAATTTAATTTCATTAACAATTTATGAAACAAGATTTTATGAATTTAATTTGGATGATCAAACTGTTCGAAGTATACCAGCAGAAATTGGACAATTAACACTTCTTCGTACTTTACGTATTTATGATAGTCCAGTATTACATCTACCTAACGAGTTTGGAAATTTAAAACTATTAGGTACTCTCATAATTAAAAATAGTTCTTTATATGATTTACCAACTGCTATAGAAAATCTTTCTGTATTAACCACATTAGATTTATCTTATAATAATTTAAAAACATTACCATCAACAATCGCATCATTAAGATCATTACAAACATTAGATATACAATCAAATCAATTAACATCGATTAACGAATTAAATAATATGAATTCATTGCGTTATTTATATGCTCAAAATTGCAGTATTACTCATCTTCCTAAGATTATGTCACAGTTAATATATTTATATATGTCTTATAATCATTTACAAGATTTAATTGGTATAGGTACTTTAGGAACTGTAAGTCAGATGAAAGATTTTGATTTCGGTTATAATCAAATTGATTTTATTGCACCAGAAATTTCTCGAATTATTCGTTACATACAAAAGTTATCAGTCAAACACAACCGATTAACATACTTGGCTAAAGAAATATATGATCAACCAAATGCAGCTACTACTTTTCTAGATATTAGTGAAAATTTATTTACTGGTGATGAACTTAATTCTATCAAAGCAACAATAAAAATCAAATTACCGGCTATTAAAGTTACTTATTAAAAACATCTATAACACCATAATATCAACATCAAACGAACATCTTTTTTTGCTTAGAATTAGAAAAAAGTAGATTATTACTCAAATATATTTTATTTGAAATTAATAAAAGAAAAATATTTTTTTGTTGAATTTTCTAAATTTTTAAGTTGTTAATTGAACAAAGTCTTACTAACGTAGAACTTGAACAAAAACAATCGAAAGAAGCAAAGATAAGCATTAAATTCGCTTGTAATGGTAAGACAAATAAAAGATAGGGATTTAATATGTAGCCAACTGGTGAATCGATCGATAAAATATTGTATCATCGTAAAATTTGTGTTGGATATAGAATACAACTATAAAGAATATATAAAACTGAAAAACTAAGAAAATAATCAGTACAAGATGATGGTTGAAGCATACGATCGCGTATTACATAGACATTGAGAATGTTTGTAATTATTGCAAAAATAAAATGAACCGTTGAATACAAATAGAAGCTTGATCTATTCTTTCAACAAGAGTATTCACATGTCATCAGTATTTCTAAGACACTAAAAAATCGACTTAAAAAGAAGAGAAATATATAGCTCTGATGTAAGTTTTCTTGGCAATCAATAAAACTTTGTTAGGAATTAAAAGAGAAAATGAGTTTGTGACCATTCAACAATTTTTTATTAAATAAATCGTAGACGTTAATAAACGTATCAAAAGTAATCTTCTCATAATTATCAATAAGCTATTATAATAAAGCTTAAGTACTTGACTATACTCAATACATTTTCTACAGTTTCTTTTATTTCTAAATGATTTATTAATTAAAAAAACCTGCATAAAATTTATCGAATTCGAATTCAATAATTTTATCTTCTTTACATCAACACAATACTTGAGTTGTATAGATTTAATGAAAATCTTTTGCAAGACATATCAGTATAATAAGAATATAAATGGATAGGAATCTTATACTAATTTCGCTTCTTCTCACATCTGTATCATATATCTATACGTATAGGTTATGCAGTTCAAATTCTTTATTTAGTTAATAATAAGTGTATAGAATTGTTCATGATTAAATAATTTGATTAAAAAATAATATTTTATGAATTAGTTTACGATAAGTAATATTGTTCTTTTGATTCAGATCAATACAGTTCGGCACTGTTAAGAAAACCACCATTATTATATCCACCAACTACTAGCACTTTCCCATTTGATAATACGGCTGCTGTATGGTTACGTCGTCCAGTATTCATGTTCGCTACGGTAGTCCAAGTACTTGCTGATGGGTCATATAATTCAGTGCTATTCAAATAAATAGTAGTACCATTAGTTCCACCAGTGATTAATACTTGTCCATTTGTTAATATGGATGCTGTGTGATATACGCGTCCAATAGCCATGTTTGATATAATTGTCCAGGTACCTGTTGATGAATTATAAAACTCAGCACTAATAAGACCACTACTACTACTACTAAGTCCACCAGTAACTAATACTCTTCCATTTACTAATGTAGATGCAGTATGATGTACTCGTGGAACATTCATATTCCCTGTCATTGTCCAAGTACCTGTTGACGGATCATACAATTCAGTACTATTTAGAAGAGCACCATTATATCCACCGGCAACTAATACTTTTCCATTTGCTAATGTAGATGCTGTATGGCATACTCGTATAACATTCATGCTTCCTGTAGCTGTCCAGGTACCTGTCGTTGGGTCATACAATTCAGCACTTTTTAGTTGACTAGTGCTACTATATCCGCCAGTAACTAATACTTTTCCGTTTGACAGTATAGTTGCTGTATGACATAACCGTCCCGCAATCATATTTCCTGTGGTAGTCCACATACCTGTTGATGGATCATATAATTCAGTACTGCTGAGATAACCTATACTACTATATCCACCAGTAACTAATACTTTACCACTTTGTAATAATACTGCTTTATGTACGAAGCGTGTAGTACTCATATTTCCGGTCATTGTCCAAACTTCTGTTGATGGATCATATAATTCAGCACTATTTAGGTAACCATTAGCACTATTTCCACCAGCAACTAGCACTGTTCCATTTGGTAAGGTAGATATTGTATGAGTAGATCGTGTAATGCTCATGCTTCGTGTAGTTCCCCATTCTAAAACATAAATTGTCCATCGAACCGATATATCAAGAAAAATGGAGGATGTTAGTAAAGATGAAAAAGTGCTTCTATTTTTTTACCATTCCACACACTCAAGCTGACACTCTCACTTTTCTGCCATGATTAAAATTCTACTGAGATTGCTAAATCCAGTCCTACTTCGAGGTATTCTTTATCTATCTAGAGAATGTTCAATCGCTAACATTGAAACCTTTTTGTGATCATTTGATCAAAATACTGTTTATAACATTACAAATTCTCTATTCTGTTACTGACTCGGCAATGGCGTTGTCGTTGATGAAGTTGTTGATGTTGATGTTGACGATGATGATGACGTTGATGATGATGTTGATGACGATGATGTTGATGCTGAAGTTGATGATGA